CTTGGGATCTCCAAAAACCTCTTAATCCACGATTGCCAAATATGTGACATGGCACTTCTTACAGCCCCTCCAACCACAAGGGAAGACCTGCAGCCATAAAAGCTTGGGTTTCCTTGTCAGCTTTCTGAGATGCTGGATAATTAAGCAGAATGCACCAGAGCACTCTGAAGCTCATCATTGCCTCCAGGCAGCATTTCTGGGTTCTTTCATATACGAAAGAAAACAAGTGAGCATTCACTCGCCTTTTTTAACAGTAGCAGTGATGAGGTCTGCAATATTTTTAAATTCCTGGGTGCATATATTCTATTTCAGACCACTCAAAGAATAAAGTCTAGCACGCAAATAAGCTCATCCTTGCAAAATAGCACCTTGGATCTTACTTTTTGTGAGCTGGTCTGGGATACCTACAGAGCAATCTCAGCCTCTGAAATGAAATACAGTTACCAGTTTGAATTTTCTGTCTCAGCAGAACTCATTACCTCAATTGTTAAAATAAACAGTCATTTAGATTTTTTTTTAAATGAACAGACTTACAAAGCAACACAGTGCACTGAGGGTTCATAATTTCTTCCCTCTAATAAGAAAAGGGGTGAAACTAAATTGTGTGTGACAAGTGTTAGCCATATCACCTAGTGTGCACCAAAATGAACTGTTCTTGTACTGCCAAGCAAGGTTCAAAACCACAGGGACAGAGTAGGAGCATGAAACAAAGAAAGGGTTAAACAATTTTTAAAAGAAAACAAAAAAGAAATCTAAAATGTTTTCTTCTAGAAGATGACGATCAGCTCTTGTTTATCCAAAGCAGTTTACTCACACCTACACCAAGCCCACTTTATTTTCCCATAAAGGGCACATATTTAACTCAACCCACAGCGCTTAGAGATCATGCTGTTAACTCCATGCCACTTGCTCAGACAGCTTTCAAACAAAGTCCACTTCTGTTTTCTTTATGGTGCCAGTGCTGCTGCGATATTAGAACCCCTTGAGAAAGGGAACAATAACACTCACTATTATGGTACAAAGAGAGTATACAAATTTATTTCTGTGGCACAGGAGATTATAGAAGATAAACTGCTTACTTCTGCAAAGCACATGGCACCAGCAAAGAATTTCAGTTTGCACGCGGAATGGACAGCAGTGCCTGACACCAAAAATCAAGGACTTAAAACCTACACTTCCATCAGAAAATGTAATAATTTGTCATACAGTGAGAATTTATGTAGCTCTAAACCATCTGTTTGCTTGCAGTACGTAGCAGCTCTCTCAGATCTTTGTAAAAGTCAAGTTGCTAATAAAAGGTCAGGATAAAAAATTTTATTTTATATGCAGAAATAATAGTTTGCTAACTCTGTTCACTAGCATTCAAGATTTTTCAAGTATTTGTGGTAGGAAAAAGTAATCAACATTCTTTCAAATAGAACTTTCATTTTAAAACGTAAAATAGGATCTGCACTGGGAAACACCAAAGGAGACGTTTCTTATTTTCTTACATTTGTACTTAGCTGGGATTTAAGCATATGTTAATGTAATGCATACACTTAACTGCTTTCCTGGCTTAAGGGTAAATTCTGATGTGACAGTCGGAAGGATATAAATGGGAAAATGTACTCTGATAAACAGAGACCTAGCATACAGTTTAGAGATTTAATAGTGAATAGTCACTAGTCACCAGTTCTGACTGGGTCTGCAAATACTGCATGAATAGAAGTCTAATTAGGACAAATCTCAGCAAAACTCATGCTCCAGACTAACCCAAAGCAGAAACATTTGGTTTTGTTTTAATGGGACCTATTAATTTTGTAATGGAACAAAGGAAGAACAGTTTTGTGTTTAATAGCAAAGTATTATTCTTGTTCTATAGAGAAAACATCCCCAAACCTCCCAGTGGATCTGCACAGACTAAAAAGCCTGTCATATGCACGGACTGGAGCCCTGCTTTGCCTTTCCTCCCAAAAGAAACAAAACCTCCCATGTTTTATTCCAGGCTGTTGCTCCCTTTACCAGTCTGAAGTAGCGGATGCCATGCTAGTGCACAGTGTAGGAGATCTCACACAGCTTAAATCAGGTGACTCCCTAGGCCCCCCATACAATGAATGCACACAGACTTCCCACAACAGAAAGCTTGGAGCTTCTATGCCTGTTACTTAATAGCTGGCAATGTAAATCCTCCTGTGCATTTCCCCATGTGACAGCCCAAGGTCTAAAGGCCAGGACCCCCCTTGGAGTACTGTCGTGCTATGCATTTTTTTCCTTATATACCAGTGCCTAATATAGCGGCAAAAATAACTTTCTTTATTATTATAATTTATTTCCATAAGGATACTAGTATAAACTGCACCAGCAAAAGTACATAGTCCACAATAAGATGCTTTTCTGTGTAGCTATGACAACAAATCTGTTAAGTAAATCTAACAGCCCTGACTAAATGCTTCCTTTAGCTCTCTTATTGATAAGCATCTGTTATTGAAGGCTAAAGGGTCTGCTGAACGCATTTGCCCCCACAGGCTTTACATATTAAATCCTTATAGATTTATTGCCTCTTTCTGCAGTAAATTCATCATATTTTAAGAAAAAAGTCCACTCGCTGTTGCCTTGAAAAGCAAATGCCCAGCAGCAGACTAGGTAGAGACTGCAATTGCAGCCAACCCTAGGTTGTGCCACACTGAAGGACTGGGATAACTCCTGGGGCAGCAGACCATGGCCTGAGGACAGGGGACATCAGAGCCTCCAGGAAGCAATGGGAAGTCTTGTGTAGCACTGGTGGTACAGACTGTTGTGTTTTGTGAGACAGGAAAAGTCAAATAGTACTGGATTCTCTCCACAGAGCACACAGCAACAGACCCATGAAGCCAGCTTTTATATGGATCCTCTACCATCTTAGACCCATTCTACTCTAATTAAAAATGAGATGAGAACATCTCAGCACCAAGCCAAATACTGTCAGGACACATTCTCACAGCTCCCTCTGACTTTAAATAAAGATGCCTCTGCTGCTGAATTTATTCACTGCAGATTTTGGAAATGCTCATATTAAGATGCCTTTCCCAAAGCCTAAGCCAGTGCCAGTGTAGTCTTTAATGGTGTGCATGGTGTTTCTGCTAATTAATTGCAGCTGTACTTCTGCCTCTTCTTTTTCTAGGATTGGCCTAAAGTGAGAACTTGTTGCAGGGATGTAATTTTTGATATCTCTGCTGTGTTGATGGGTTGAGACATATAAGAAAGGAGAAAAGCATCTGAGCTAAGTCTCTCTGAACTCTCTTCTATAGCATCTTACTAGTTTCTTTAGTAGTTTCACAGTGGAAATACACTGCAGTAAATGCTTAACATGGATTTTTTTTTTTTAGAATTTGGGAGAAATACTTTGATAGAAACGAACTGTGACAGCAGAATATTACCACATAACTGCTCTTGCTGCTATGGCTTGTACAGCCGCAGGTCACCCCAACTGCACGATCCATCATTTTTCAGAAAGACACAGTAATCATTTGGAACCACTTTCCATACCTCCAGGATTCAATTCAGTGTCTTTTGAGCAATGCCTGTTTCTTTCAGCTTTAGCAACCTTAGCAGGGGGACTGTTTTAGGGAGATCACCAAGGAAACACATAGTGCTATTAGGAAGTGATACTGTTAGTATTTCAAGAGCACTTGACGTTCTCTGACTGTAGCACAGAAGCAAAAATCAGAGTTGCATCTGCTCCACGTAAAAAGGGTTATAAATTATACAGATCTAGAACTGGATGAACTCAGTTTAGTCTAGCATACTATTTTAGTCATGCTCGCCTTAGAAGCATGCAGCTTGCTTGAAAAAGAAGAACAATTAAAGTAAAAAAATATGGAAACATTTTAAATGAAGACAGATTGGAGATTTTTTTTTTTTCTTCTCTTTCTCTCTTGAATCTGCCTTTTTAGTCTAAATTTTTTTTCTTGGGCAACCAAAGTCCTGTTTCTGAGTACATGAATTGCTCTGTGAAATCTGCCACTGCCATTTTTCTAGGAGGCAGATATGTTGCTTTTCCTGATCATTTACAGCTTTAACATTCCATGTATTTTCTTTCTTGATAACAAGTTAGCTTTTATTTTAGTATGAATCTTTCCATTTGTAAGCATGTAATAAGTTTCTTTGAAAATCAAGTTTATTTTGATTCTCAAGCTTTTCCCTGTACAACACACAAATATTTTCTCCCTTTCGGACTTTTTACTCTGATTTGTTAAGCATATGTAGTACTTTAATGACTGTGATTAATTATGAGTGCCCAATGCAGGATTCCCTCAACAATCACCAAATAACAGCAAAAGCAGCAGGTGATGCTCAGGAGGAGCTGAGAGGAGTTATCTCTGATAAGTTTACATTCTTGTAGCCTGGCCAAGAGCTTCAGGGATGGTAGGGATCACGAACCACAAATGCAGACCCAAGAAAAAATGTTTCCCAGATGTTCTGACAGAGTCCTCTTAATCTCAGGTGCTCACGTACATGCACACAGGCACACATCCTCAGAAAAGGGAAGAAACCAGTAATTTGGCTCAAAAAAGATGGACTATTGCAAAATACTTTATGCAATATCCTTCAGGAGTGAATGGACTTATGTTGCCCATATCTACATGAGATTACATGGTGAGGTTTGATGTGTAGACAATATAATTCTGTGATTATGTTTTGAAGAGTAGTGAACAGACTTGAATAGCTGTCAGAGCTTGTCTGTGCCCATCATGCCCTCTCCTGACACTGGCTTCAGAAATAAGTATGTGAATGAAATCTTGGTTTCCTGAGGCAAAAGGCAAATCTTGGACAGAAGTAAAAAAACCAGTCCATGGGAGTGCCACAGTCCAAACACCATCTCCTCTGGGGACATCAGCTGCTCTACAGCATGAGAAGAGGATGTAGCACGTGAAGACCGTAAAATATCGAAAAACAGCACACAGTCCCTCTTCCCCCACCATTCCAGTGTAATCTACAATACCTCAGAACACAGCCTGATGAGTTCTCCTTTTCTTTTTCAGTGCTTCTTAGTGACACACCCAGATTTTGCTTTACTCACCATGAAGGCCACAGTCATTGCAACTTTCTTTGGTAAGTACAGTTGATGTGCTGCAATTAGGAGTTTACGGGTTTGTCCCGGCTGAGCAGTGGCTGCTGACTTATCCTCTTCCTTTTGGTCTCCATGGCTGATGAAGTTCCTTGCGGTAGGTGTAAGCCTCGGCACAGCTTTTCAGAAATGGGCCACCCAAACTTCTTGGCTTTGGCATAGAAAAAAATATTAATCACTTTTAGAGATCTCTAAGTACCTGACCAGTTGCATGCAGCCCATATCAGATGGCACAACTGCACCTGAAAAATGTCTGTAATGTAAAGATTCCCTCTAAAGAAAAGTCAGCTGTTTCTTACATAGGGACAGCCTTTCACAATTCTCTCTGTTCTTGCTCTTTCCATGAACACGATGGTACTAAAACGTTATAATGTGTTTTAGTTTCTTTCCCCTGGTAGTCAGACAGGATCTCACTTTTTGGGAACAAGTAGAGACTCCAGAATTTGCAATTCATCTTACATGAACACTCTGGTTGTGATATTCCCAGGCAATATTCCTTCTAGCTGTTATCCTCAAATCTGTCAGGACAGTAGTTCTTAGCTCAAATTCATAGCAATCCATGTAGTTCTTCTACTACAAATTACCAAATTCCTTTTTCCACATTATATTATGCTCTAGCATTCCAAGGAGTTGAGACTTTTTACTTTACTTTCCACTGATTCATTCCTTTTTTTTATTTAACTACAATTTTATCTTGGTTACACAACTGCACCAGTGACAAAAGGCCCAAATACTGCATCTATACAGTGTCACTTCAGACACCGTGGGACTGCTTTTTCTTTTGAGCAAGTTCTAGGAGTGATTAAGTCTACAAATTCTCTGCAATTAGTCTAGGGGGAGAAGTGCATAAAAGAAAGAAATTACTTCTGTTGCATATTCTAGTAAGATTAGCTTAACAAATGATAAGAGGATCAGCTGACACGTCACAGAGGGTTTTAATTCCCTCTGAAAGTTCAGAGAAAAGAAAGGTGAATAGAAAACTCAAGATACTTGTAACGAAGTTATTAATTATCCATAATGCAGTTCTTATAAAATAAGCATAGCGACTGAAGAGGTTTTGTATGTCATCACTTAGCAAGTAAACCCAACAAGGTAAGCTACACACATATGTTGTGATGCATGTTTAAACATAATAGCGTATGTCTCTTTTACTATTACACTTTTCGAATCATAATTCTGCTTACTGAAGAAAATGAGTGCCCTTGCTGGGACAGGATACCGGGACATGCTTCACTAGAACCTCAAATGACCTGTAATGCTTCCCCAGCATTCACTACCTGCTACCAGCAGTGAGTGAAATGCCACAAGGCACAATTACAGGATAACCTTCCCGACGGGATATTGGGAGGAATCTTTCTCTCCCTAATTTCTCAGTTGCTTTATACACAGAGCACATTGTTTCACTAATGTCTCTATCACACCAATTACAAAGAGTTTCCAGTGCTTGTGGAAATACTGGGACCTTTTTTGGTTTTCTGGATCACATGGACACTCAGTGTTTAGACGGTGAGTTCCACAGGTGAGTATGTGAGGTGATCTTTAATCCTTTTCAAAAAACTTCCCCTCAGTAGATGTCATCTTGACTGCAAAGTTAACAAGTAGGAACCTAGCTATGGCTGAGAATATTCCCATTCCAGTTTTTCAACCTATTGATTCAAATTTGAGAAATCTCATTCATGGGAGCTTGTGGTGACTGATGTTGATAGTCTTCCTTTTTCCTGATACTATGTTTTCTTTGTTCTAGGTGTGTTTCTTACATGTACATACACAGCTAAGGAAGCCACAAAGAAGCCAAAAAAGCCTAAGCTATGTAAGTGGTCCCTGTAGAACTCTTGGCTGCTTTACAGCATGCATTTCTGATACATAAAATAATTGCAAAGTAAGGTTATATTCTGGTAATTTTTCACAATTTTGTGGAGTCAATGGGAGTATATGTTTTCCAGCAGATTCTTTTATTAAAAACAAATCACTAAGTAAAGTGTGTGCTACTTAACATGTGTAAAGGGAAAATGTTGTACTTCACTACTAAAATGCACCTTCATAGGTCATTAAGTACCACACAAGGATCCAAGCAAGCACTAAGGTTTTCCCAGAGAGAGAGAGACAGAGAAATATGTGAAATGAACCAGCTGTAACACAAAGCATATGTAGCTGATTAGCATGAGACAAGCGGTGCATATCTATGTACCAGGATTTATCATTTTCAGCTATACTGCTGTAGGAGCATTTCTGTGCACAGATTACTTTGCTCATGTAGCTGACAAACAAGCCTGCTGTGAGGCTGTAAACTCACACTTAAACCCTTGTTCAAAGTAAATTGCACCCAGCAAATAGTTTTAAAAATTAAGGGCAAGATAATGGGCTCTGACTGCAGCCTGACGTTATAGATGGCACAGAGCTACAAGAGCACAGCAGGAGGCTTGGGAAGCATCCCTACCCCCTCCTTCCCACGTGTTAACCACAGCCTGGGTGACAGCCTCCTCTCCCTCTCCAGTAAACCATCATAACAGAAATTTCCTTCAGAGAAGCAAACACTGAAGGTCAGAAATATCCGCAGGCTTCTTCATTCCACCCTTAGTTACTGCTACATCCCTTGGTATAGGAGTTATTATGCATTATGTTGAAGATGCAGAACACACAGAAGCCTTGTATCACAAACCCATTGATCTGAAGGCATAAGAGGAGGGCATTCCTGCACTCAGTTGCTCATTGTTTCAGGACAAGATCAGTCAGCTATGAGAACATTCAATCTGACTTTACCAAGATTTTGCACTCACAGATGTACCCCAGATTGATTGCGACGTCAAGGCAGGGAAGATAATCAATCCAGAATTCATTGCAAAATGCCCTCCTGGATGTCAAGACGTAAAATACCGTGTTTATGGCACAGACATTTATGCTTCCTTTTCCAGTGTCTGCAATGCTGCAATTCACAGGTGAGTGGGTTGAAATGAGCAAGGCACTCAGAAAAAACATCATTACAGTGTAGAGAGCTTTTGACTTTTCAAACCCTTTATAATTCCCACTGCCTTCTAGGTTTGATTGCAGAGTGCTGTTGTAGTACAAAACCTGAGAGAAAGACCATGTATGATATAATGGATCGATTCTTATAAAGTGCTGTTAATCCTGTATTCCTATGGAAATCAGTTGTTGAAAAAGTTTCTCAGCCTTTGGAGAAGTGTCTTGAGATTCACAGATTTCTCATTCATGCATAGCAAATGACTATTGTACTATTATTATTCAAGTGGAAGATAGAGATGGAGTTGCTGCTACTGATAGAGCTTAAGAAAAAAAAATAGGCATATCACCAGTGATGAATACACATAACTCTCATACTTCTGGGATTGGTTTGGTTCTCCAGATTTGAATTTAACTGTCCTTGACATCAAAGGCTGAGTAATGTGCTTTCCTGCCACATAAAAGGGCACTGCACAAGGAAATGTATAATACAAATTTTATAGCACAAATTTTGCTGAGTTTTATTATCCATGCAAAAATGTGCATAAAATTTTAATGGAGAATAACTGCAAAATCAAAACTCCTTAATTGGAGGCAGGATACAGAGCAGGATGTATTCAGCTGAAAACATGGTAAGAACTTATAGAGCCTGATTGACAACTTGACTTCCTTCAGAGTTATTTGAGCTATTGCCAAGCTTCCAGTTCTGTGAAATCGCTGGGATCTCGAGTAAAGTTGCACAGTTAAAGCTGTGGGAGTTTACACCTTGCCTCTGCATTGTGCAGGTCTCAGGCTGAAGTGCCTGTGTGCATAGGGCTGCCACCTCCTGGCTGCAGCTCTGCCTGCTCAGGCACTTGCTGGGGAGATGACTGACAGGCTTTCAGCGACAAATTCTTCCTTTGGATATTAGTGCACGATGGAAATTCTCTCTGTATGCAGAACTAGTCCCAAAGGGAATTATAAACTACTGGTAGCAACTGCAATTTCTCTGTATTTCAAATGCTGGCTGTCTGTATTGTTGCAGTGAAGGTTTCAATTTTTCTCATTTGCCAGCTGGCTTTGGCTTTGTTACCTTACATGTTGCATTTCCACAGATAGTGAAGTTCATTTCTATACATTTGTTTTGACTGCAGCTTCTGGCAATCATCAGAGAAAGCTACAGCTCCAACACATTCTTCAACGCTGTTTGCTACGCATTACTTATTTTTCTGCACAGTCATTACTACCAGCCCTACCACACCCCTACAGTTACAGTCACTTCCAGGTTTACTTGCTGTCCTAGTGATGCCAGAGCAGGTTGCATGCACTGGAGGTTTTCTATTTGTCTTGAGATTCACAACATCATATGACAAACACCATTTGATGTGCACAGCACATGGAGCCTGCCAGGTTTTCTACAGCTTCCAGCAACACTGTGTCCAGTTTACTCCAGGCTGAGGTCAGAACCAGGCTTAGTCTTTTGCAGATAATACATACTGAAATTCTAAGAAAACACATTCTATCACATGGCTGGCCTAAAAACTCCTCTGAGTACCTCTCTCTGTGTCTTCAGTCATTTAATCAAGCTCACGGGAATTTCAACGAAGGCAGTAGCTTTTCCTTGTGTGCAACTAGGTCAAGCTTAAACACAGAACCAGTAAACCAGTGGGAAGAGCAAACAGATCCTGACAGCACTTTATAACAAACTGCCCTTCTCTGAGCAGAAGAAGCACAATTATTTCTTAGCACCAGACTTAGTAGTAGCATGACAGCCCCAGTACCGAACCCGGTTTAAAGGTAAAAGGAAATGCTTCGCAGTTCTTGCATTTTAGACCAGCTTCCAAGGTTTTCATGGAATTTCTGCCTTCAGACATCATGTTGTCTCCTTGCAGTGGTATAATTGACAACACAGGCGGGAAGATCCTTGTCCAGAAAGTTGCTGGCCACTCTGGTTACCGTGGGAGCTTCTCCAACGGGGTCCGGTCCTTGTCGCTGCCGCGCTGGAGGGAGTCCTTCCTCGTGTCAGGTACCATTCTGAGGTGGAGCACTGGAGCCCCCTGCCCTCCCTGCCCGCTCCCCACGGCCCGATAGCTGGGCAGCAAGGGGTGGAGAATGAAGCAGCCTCTCCTTTTAAAGACCTGGTTATTCAGCACAGGCCCACCCCACCCAGCTTTAGCATGAATAATGCATTTGAGACACTTTTTGTTCTAGGCTTCCTATGTAGCCCATAAAGGACACTCACCTTCCCAGCGGTGTGCTCAGTGAGCCCACTGCAGAACGTGACAGATGTTCTTCATTGAGTCTCTGAAGGCACCTTAATTGGGGCTATTGATGAACAAGATCTGAGCTTTGGTACTCACTGTGAGGTCTTCCTATTGCTCTCCACCCTGGCAAGCAGCGCTGCTGAGGGAATGAAAGGGCCTTTTGGCTACATGAAGCATCCTCAGCCTGCACCTGAGTTTGCTTCTCCTGAAGCAACTTCTGTCAAGCAATCTCAAGCCACATATAGTCATACTGTATGTATGCAAACCCTATATTATGCAATTTGACTGGTGCATCCTAAGTATGGCAGGAATTCTCTCCATTCCGTTAGAAAAATAGTTTTGATATCTACTCACTGCAGGGAAATCTATCTTAATTCAGTGATCATTCCTTTTTTCTCCCCATAGTATATACAGGAGCGACGACTGGCCATTAGATTAGATTAGATATACAGGAGCTCACTTGCATTCACTGGTAAAATTCAGAGATAGGGGCTTTTTTGTAAATTAGATCCCCTTTACACTAGCTTCAGATTATTTTATCCCAACTTGCACATTCTACTTCTGTGAAAGGGTCTGCTTGACATTGCTTTACTTATAATTTCTAAATCTAACTCCTTCATGCATCCATACAGTGGGCCTGTTCTTGCTGGTCTGAACTTTTGAAGTTTTAAGATAAGCATTGATTATTTTACATTAATATTTTATATTTATATATATTTTTATATTTAAATTTATATTGTATATTTATATTATGATTGATGTTAGTTAACTACATAATTCCTGGAAAAATTAACAGCTCAAGTAACTGAACAGCCTCTAAAAACAAAGAAATGTTCTTTTCCTGTGAAAATTTGCAGACATCAAAGGAGGTCTCAGAAACTGACCAAAAAAACTGTTACCTCAATTTTGCATTCATGTATTTGGATGCATTTTTTACAGTAGTCTGCCATGTATACACCACGTTATGAGAAGGATTTCTTTTGGATGAGTAGGAATTTCCCGGAATAGCTGAATTGCTATTTGCACTTGTTGCAGTTTTTTCCCCCAACAAATAGCACATTTTAATTCTGGTACATAAATGGGAAATAGTTTGTTTGTTTTACATCAGCAGCTGCACAGTTATCATCCTATAAAACTGTAGGAATTCTTCAATAAAACTGTAGGAATTTTTGATTTATGGTAATAAATATTTATTCTTAATTAGTGAGATGCCATAAAAGAAGACACAAAGAAAGTTACAAGCACATGTAAAAGGAGATGATGAGAAATCTGGGTATGTGTAGGCATGATGAGACTTGTCCCTCGTGCACTTAATTTTATGCATACTGAGTGCTCTCACTGATGTCAGTGGAACTCTTAGTTTATAAACTAGCCCCAATGTAAATCTAACATATCAGATAACATGTTATATTGCATATATCCATAGGAAGAAAACTCACTGAAAATGTGGGAGGTTTAGAGAAATTCAGAAGACTAAAGCCCAGGAAGGCTGTGCTATTCATCTCACCAGCCTGAGGATGAATGAATACAAATCGTATTCTCAGAAAATGATGAGCTGGGATTGGTTTTTTTTTACAGTTATGAGTCATAAAAAGACAGAACTGCATAAAGCACTGCTGAATAAAAATACAAAGTCACCTAAGGCATTAATTTCAGAACAGCTTTGGAGGGTGAACTGAGTCCCCTGTTCTCCAGCTGAATTTGCTTTCAGCAGACCAGACCTGTATGCAACACTCTACCCTGGAAATGTGCCAACAGTTTATTCCTAGTTACGATATTGTAACTGAGTTAGTGATGTTTAAATTGTGAATGAGCATTCACACAAAAGAGCACAGAAGAGGAATCCTTGGGGGACTCAGGCAATGAAGTGGCACGATTTAGGGGCAGTGGAGAAGAAGGTCTGTCCTCTGGGATTAAAGCAGCCAGCACACCAGGAGGTATGCAAATGCCTTGGTATTCACTTTCAAGCACTGAAATGCCTTGGCTCTCAGTTAAATGACTCCATTCAGTTTAGCAGGAGTTTTGCAGCTAGTGGGTTAAGAAAATAAAGTCCTAAACTTCTGAGTTTTCTAGTCAAATGTGTGAGAAGGTGAGCAGCCACCACACCATAGCTTGTATTTCAATGGCCAAAGTTGATGTTTTCAGCTCACATGTTAACACATTTTTAAGTATGTTAAGCAATCTCCATCTTAGATGTAACTTTTTTCCCAGCAGTGAAAAAGGCATATTACCATTGCTCCAGAGAGTAGGGCACGTTCAGGTCAGACCTCAGATCCATCTCTTGGTCACATAGAACATGCCAATTGCTGTTGACCAAAAACCCCAGAATCCAGCAGCAGCCAGCCTCCCCACACTAGCTGGTGTATTTGCACAGCAGTGGGCTTAAGGTTTTCATTAGAAATCAGATTAGCACCGAAATATTCTGAATTAGGATCATATTATTACACTATTACAGCATCCATGTATCAGCTACTCATATCTGACAACTCTTCCTTTGCTGGGGATAAAGAAAAGCATTTAGAAGTCACCTCTGATCCCATAACTTTTCTCTCTTTCTACCAAATTGGTAGAAGAGCTCCCTAGTCCTGCTTGGCCCCTGATCCCAGTTTTAGCTCGAGGGGAAGTGGATGTGAAAACCTGCTGCCCTTCACTTAGGCCAAATTCTGTGAGGAAGCCCAGAGGGCAAGAAAGAAGCTCTTTCCAAGTTGTCCTTGCATGCTAACCTGGTTCTTTGGTGGATCTGTATTGACTTCAGTGGAGCTGCTCTCAGTTTACACCACTGTAAATGAAAAAATGGGACAGTTTCTTACATTATTGCCTCATTAGAGGAGTAAAACAAAGAAGATAGAGACATGAAAGGGGACAAAGGACAATGACTATACAGTTCCCTGGACATCCCTGCTCATAGAGTTCCTCTGCCATATACCTTTCTTTGTGTGCCATCACAGGGGAAACAGCTCCTAGTTCCCATGAGTGGTTCAGTCTGTAGGAGTTTATTCTGTTCAGTGCTATTGGTCTCTGGACTAATCACTGAGGATGACAACTGACATGCTTGCACTGCCATATGTACCTCCTTGAAGAATCCACCAAAGGAATAAAGGAAAGATCACCACATCTCAGGTTTTGCAGGAGGTAGAAGTAGTTCTCAGTTGAGGTGGTGCAGATACATGACACAGGACAGCATCTCGTAGAGACAGTCCCCAGGGTCCAGGAGACCTACATCCACCAACTCCTAGAGGCCAAAGCAACCTTTTCTCCACAAGGCTTCTCTGCAACGCTTTTCACTCAGTGACATATGTGAATATAAAAACTGTCCTGAGAGCTGGAATTGCATAGCCACACGTACCAATAGAGACGGCATCTGCTGTTGCACTAAAAAGATTTGTGGTTTAAACCTTAACTGGGAAACACACCTCATTGTTTTAAGACAGGACCCTCATTTTAGACCTAAATATAGGTACCATATGTTCCCACACAGAAGCACCACCTTCTCTCACTGTTATTACTGCAAAAGGCTGTTGCCAGAAATGGCATCTCACAGAAGTGAGGTCAGAGAAGAATGCTGTGTGCATGATGGAATGAATCCCACATCAAACATGCTTTCTAAGTCAACTCATAGTCAAGCACTGGAAAAGGCTGCCTAGGGAAGCTGTGGGTTTAAGTAGAAGTTATACAGATGTCCTTCAGGAATGATCCCTGTGTGTTTAGTGTCATTTGAGAGCAAAGGAATGAACTTATTGACCTCTTCAGTTCCTCCCCAGGACTGTGTTTTCACACTTTCTAATTTTTTTCTATGATGCTGGATTTAGGCGTTGGTATTTTTAGTGGTATGGTTTTTGAGGTTCTGCCATCCGATGAAGGAAATCTTCATGAAAATGAGTTAGGCAGTAAAGAAGAGGGGTCTAATTCTAAACATCTATATTAGATCAGAATTTAATTGCAAGGAAGCTTAGAATATTTTGTGATGCCTTCTAATATTTTTTTTGCAGAGGGCAAGCCAAGAAAAGGAGTGACATACCCATCAACTCTTGAATATTCTTCTTCAAAAAGTACTGCTGTTAAATCAGGCAAGTAATTGCTACTTACTTTCCCTTACATCCATTCACAACTATCTGTCATAGTTTCTCAGTTGTGTAATACAGGGATATAATTATTCAGAGTCAGAAGTTCATGGAACCATTAGTATCTCATCCAAATCAGTTATGGTATTTTTCTATGTTAAGCATACAGAAATCATCTCAGACGATTTCTATTTTTTGGTCATACCACGCTTCACAGACTTCTGTTTCCGAGTAGTTTCCCCCTTGCTTTAAATCTGTTACTGAATACGACATTTTACTGGTTATATGAAAGCATTTGAGGTTATACATGTTGACTTTTTCCTAGTGTTATTCATGTTAACTCTTGGGATATTCAGTGCTGAGAGTATAACATTAAATAGTAATATAATACTAATGACACAGATGGCAATGCACAGCAGCTTAACTAAGGAATCATTTTAGTCAGCATCCTGCTCTGTAAGACTCAGCTCAGTTCAAATAATTTAGTTGTTTTCAGAGGTCTTTAATCAAGTCTCACTGGTTGGTAGCTGATATTCAAGAGCACATGGCTTGCCTCTGTCACTGAAATGACATTTGTTTGGGCTCCCTGTAACAACTGTGTGAGGTTCAAACTCCCCCTTGGGCGTGTGAATGAAAACAAAATTCATGTCCCATACTCCTACATTCTTCCCTAACACAGCCCTTTCACTGATTGCTGGGCTTGAGCCTTCCTGAGTGTATCCACTGTGAGCTGTGGAGACCTGCTCTTCTCCTGTACATGATTGTTTGGTCCTTAAAAGCAAAGTACAGAGCTCTTTTCTTATAGAATCATAGAATCATTATGACTGGAAAAGACCTCTGAGATCATCAAGTCCAAACATTAACCCAGCACTGCCAAGTCCATCAATAACCATGTCCTCAAGTGCCACATCTACATGTCTTTCAAATATCTCCAGGGATGGTGACTCCACTGCTTCTCTGGACAGCCTATACTAATGCTTGACAACACTTTCCGTGAAGAAATTCTTTCTAATATCCAATCTAAACCTCTCTTGGAGCAATTTCTGGCCATTTCCCCACCACCTCCCTTCAACCTCAAGTAGTTGCAGAGAGTCACTAGGTACCGTTTGAACCTCCTTTTCTTCAGGCTAAAACACCTCAGTTCCCTCAGCTGTTCCTCGTAAGACTTGTGCTCTAGACCTTTCACCAGCTTCATTGACCTTCATCTTTACGTTTTCACTTGAACAAAGGCAAATTTGAATCTGAAAGCTTTCTAGTGTTCAGACTGAACATGCATCACTCAATTCCATACCTTTCATTTGTAATACCTTTGCATTTACAATCAAATAGGTATAGATTTATATGTATCTTGGCCAAGTACACAGAAATTAGTTGACCAAATACTATGCACTGCTAGAAGGGAGGAAATTTTGGCTTTTCCTGAGAGTATATAATGGCCAGCCTTCGCAAGCGAAGATCCGGGGAAGGTCTTTACACCTTCCAGCCTGCGCATTGGATTTTTTAGGTGAGACACAGTGTGCGCGGAACTGAGCCCACCCTTTAATCCTAAGGTTCATCTGCTGGGGCCAAGCGAGCTTGGATGGTGGCAGCGAGGTCCTCAGGACGTAGATGGGTTACCTTTAAGGGCTAACGAGCTCCACCTGCCCGGGAGTGGCCCTGACCGGGAATCGAACCCGGGTCTCCGCGGTGATAGCGCCGCGCCCTTACCACTAGACCACCAGGGGCTCCTTTTCCTGAGAAATGCTTACTAAAATTGCAACACATCATTCCCAAATGTAGTCACACTTGAAATAACCAGCCCAAGGTCTCACAGCAGACCAGAGACAATCACAGAATACGCTGAATTGGAAGAGACCTACAAGGATTATTGAGTCCAACTCCTGGCGCTGCGCAGCACTATCCCCTTGAGTCACACCATGTGCCCAAGAGTATTGTCTAAATGCTTCTTGAACTCTGTCAGGCTTGGTGCTGTGACCACTTCCCTGGGGAGCCTGTTCCAGTGCCAAACCACCTTCTGGGTTAAGAACCTTTTTTCTAATATCCAAATTAAACCTCCCCTGACACAACTTCAGGCCATTCCCTTGGGTCCTGTCACTGGTCACCACAAAGAAGAAATCAGTGTCTGCCCCTCTTCTTCCCCTCACAAGGAAGTTGCAACTGCAGTGAAGTCTCCCTTCAGTCTCCTCCAGGCTGAACAGACCTCAGCTGCTCCTTATAAGCCTTCCCCTCAAGACCCTTCATCACCTTCATTGCCCTTCTTTGGACACTCTCTAATAGCTTAATATCTTTCTTATATTGTGTTGCCCAAAACTGCACACAATATTCAAGGTGAGGCCACCCCAGTGCAGAACAGAGCAGGACAATTCCCTCCCCTGACTGGCTGCCTGATGCCCCCCAGGACACGGTTGCCCTCCTGGCTGTCAGGGCACTGATGACTCATATTCAGCTTGTCATCAACCAGGACCTCCAATCCCTTTCCTTGGCACTGCTTTCCAGCATCTCATTCCCCAGTCTCTGTTTACATCCAGGGTTGCCCCACCCCAGGTGCAGAATCCAGCACTCTCCCTTCTTGAACTTCATACGGTTGGTGATTGCCCAGCACTCCAACTTGCTGAGGTCTCTCTGCAGGGCCTCCCTGCCTTTGAGGGAGTCAACAGCTCCTCTAATTTTGTGTCAACTACAAGCTTGCTTAGTATCCCCTCCATCCTGCATGCAAGTCATTCATGAAACGCAGTCAGGACTGAGCTCAGCAGGCTGTAAGCAATGATGTCTTACACTAGTGCTAAAATCCACATAATACAAGAATCAGTGTACAAATGGGGCATATCATCAAGTCGCTGTTCAATGACACAAACAAATAGCAGGAACCTGTTCCTACAGTAAATCAAAGACACAAGTCTTCACTTTGTTCTTGAATCAAACAGTGTGAATGAAAATGCTAGCATCCTAGCAACAAAGACTGTGCATTCACAAAGAGAAAACCCAGGATTCTCAAAGGAGCAAACAACTGTAACATCAAACCCAACGCCAGAGAATGTCACTACCAGGCTTTGCCCAGCCCTGTCTCACAGGTAACAAAGAAATCTGATGGTCACAACCCATCTTCGCCAAGTCCCACTTGGTCCTGTCGGCCCTCCTCAGACCTGTCACCTTGGCCCTCCCATCTCAGATGTTCTTTGTTAAGAAACAGCTTGTTTTAAAAATAAAAATCTCTGTAATATGGTGCCAGGGCCATCTTGTGCTAGAGGATTTCCTACTTATTTTTTACTTTAAAAAGAGCTAATTTTTAATTCTAATTTATATTACACAGACCACACCGTTCACTTTGATACTTAAATTCATTATCTGTAGAAAGTAAAATACTCCTTTGAGTATTACACTCACTAGCTGTCAGATTAGCAAAAAATCCTGCTTCATACCTGATCAGCTGTCAGAGATGCAGTTCTGGTCCTCTCCACAGGGACACCAGCTATTCACAGTGCCTGACGCTTCTTTAAGTGCTGCTGGTGGTTACAGTGCTTCTCAAATGCTGGGCACGGCAAGAAAAACCTTCCCAAAATTGTAACTCTTCACAGCTGGAAAAACAATTAAAATATGTTGATTTAAAAATTATAGTACAAAATTTTAGGAAACTATTAACACTTGAGTAAATTGTCAAATAGTTCAGTGCTGCCAAAAGAGCTAGAGAAGAAAAAACAAAAACCAAACAATTAAACAAAACAAACAAACACACCCCCCCCAAAGATCAAAACCCTCCAATACTCAGTCGGACATAAAAGTAGAAACAGATTACTTAGCAAGGTTGCAGTAAAAAAACTGTAATAAGTGTTCCAAGTACACTGATGATAAAAAGAAAAGAACCAAAAAACCTCCCTCTTCCTTCTAAGACAGTACATGGTATTTAGAATTTGGCTGCATAATGATCTCAAAATGTCAGTCAAGAAAAAAATATATCTGAAAATTAATTAGTGGTTGAAATATTTCACATTAGCTGGTATTCTGCAAACACCCCACACGCACCATGACTGTGATTCTTGGGACATGCTGCTACTCAGAGGAAAAAATCAACATGATGCATTAATCTTATGAGTATTGGCTTATTAGTCGTAAAATCCCATATTTATTGCTCACTTCAGAAATGCTATTGATACTAGCAGGAGCTCCTGGGCAGTAAAAATGCCTAAATTTGGCACCAAAGATATGGGGTGACTACTCTGTAGAGGCATTCAGTCATCACTTTTTGTCACTGGTCGATAAAGCTCTGGTTAGACTGACTGATCTACCTGTTGGTATGTGATGGGTTGTCTTCCTTTGGGGACTGATAATCCCTAAACAGGAGACTTAAAATTATTTCTTCGAGAGCTACCTTTTCTAATGTTCTCAATTTTACTTCAGAGCCTAAAAAGCCAGAGCAAGACCCAAAAGGTATGAAGAGTATGGATACTATTAATACATCAGAAAAAACATTGGAACAAGGTAAGGATTGGGGATCTTGGTGCTCTTCTAATCTGCCTGCAGACATTTATAGGCAGCAGTTTGATGCTGATTAGGCATACAGCTTTACCTCTCACATCCAACCTCCTCTCTACAGTCCCTTTCCCATCAAATCAACCCCATTATGTGAGTGCCCACAATGGTGCTTGAAAGACGTTTGCCAATTCAGAGAAGAGGGCACCCTCAGATTTTAATTTCTGCCCGTGTTTTGGGCAAGTTCAGGTGCTGTGAACTTCAAAAGCTCACATTATGGCTCTTGGCAATCTTCTATGCAGGGCACATGCCTTGTAAATCCTTTGAAGATACTGTGAGGGAGATGGGCCCCTGCCCACAGGAGCACTGGGAACAGCTAGCCCTCGAGAGCCCTCCTCTTGTGCTAAAGGATCCATCAGAAACCCAGCCAACATGCACCAAGGCAACAGCTTTTCTCTGCTCTTACTATGCTGCTTTCTTGGGGTTTTCTGCTAATACTGTTAGTTCCCAACTTCCTTGCTCCTCAGAGACTGGGGTATAAAGCTGGCCGATGTGCCTGTTCCCAGCTCCAGCAGCACCAGATCACAGTGGAAGACTCAGTGTGCCCTCTGTCTTCTTTTTTTTAGCACAGCTTCATGGAGCACAGCACTGTTCAGCCCAAAAAGAGCCATTCATACTGATTTTTTTTCAGCTGAGCTGTTTTGTTTTTCTTCAGAGCCCTCTTTCAGCATTATCCCATTAAAACTGTCTGAGATCTGAGTTTTTCACTGCCTAGCATTAGGTGGTAATTAATCCTCCAGACAGTTTCACAACGATGCCTTCCAAAAGGAGAACATCCAGAAACAGCAATAAAATACAAGCTCGTGTTGTGCAGCAGTGAACAAAGTGAACACCATTCCTTTTCAGGGTAGACTGTGCGTTAGGCCATCCCCAGGGCTATGGGCAGGAAGGAGAGAAACAAGACTGAGGTTAACATGGAATATATTTTAGAGTAAGCTTTTGTAGCTAAATGGAGAAGATAACAGCGAAGGACCTTTTTTGAGACATGACTTGAAAGAACTCAAGCATGTTGACAATTTTTTGCAAGGATATTTAGGATGCAAGTTTTGCAGCTAGAATTGTCTTTGTTCTCAGAACAGATGATACATTTTAAAAGTAGTAGCAACTGTGAGATGAGTCAAGCTTAGATGAGATTGGCACCTCCCAGGTGGTGCTCTCCCCCACTCCTCTCATCCAAAGCCCTAACACTCCCTCTCTGGCTCAGACCCACTCCCCAAATCACCATTAACTGAAAGTTGTCCACCTACCAAAAATATTTCAATGCTGGACTGCATATTTTATTCTGGTCCATGACTCAGATTGGCCATCTTTTACTACCAGATGCCATTTGATTTTCATTTATATGGACTAAGTGCTTAATTACGTTGAGAAAAGATAATGGCAAAACAGAAATTGCAACTGGCTGACTGAACCACTTCATAGGTCTGAGATGTCTCTGAGGTTGATCAGTGTTCCTGGCCAAAGCAGAAGAGTGTAGAGGGAACATTAAGACTGCAACAGGCTGCTGTCAGCACTCTCTGAGAGCAGTGTAGGAGTGTCATGCAGGCATCTGTACCATGAAGTACCACACAGCTGTGAAGGCACCAATGGCTCCACAGATGAGGATGCTTGTAGGTAGCCTGAGGAGAATGCCATTTTCTGGATGCCATTGCTTTTAGAGAGTGAGTGCTGTTGACGATGCTTCCGTGAATGACAGACATCCAGCTACAGTCACCACGTCAATGTTCCCGCAGGGGATGCAGTCCGCAAAGAGTACCAGACGTCTCCAGTGCCGACATCAGCCACACAAATGGCCACCACGACCCCAACACCAACGACCACGACGACAGATCCTTCCACCACAGTGCCACAGCCAACCACAACACCTGCAACAACCAGAACCACAGCAGCTGCAGCCAAGACTAGACCTGGACTGCACAGGGTCAGAGATATGGGTCAGTGGCGTGGATGTTTGCATTGCTTTCCTCCCAAATGACAGCCTTCCTAAAATTTAGAGAATAAGACATACAGCTGGATATATCATGATTTAGTGGATCAGAAATTCAGTAATTCAATGTAGAAATATTAGGACTGGGAAAAATATTTAATTCCAGCAGATGGGCTGGAGTTAGAGTTGTGCCTTTGAGACACGTACAAATTTAAAGCATCTCACATAAATACAGATATGTATATTTTCTGAGGTGAGAGTTCATCCACAGTAAAATTTATACCTAATCTTTATCTTTACTTATAATTTACTGGCATATAAACCAATTCACGTGGGAGTAAGCTCTCCATCCCCAAATGCTGTGATGATTTTCAGGTATGTGAGGCTTTTCAACAAATAGTTCTCTGATTCACACGTCTAGACTGAGAGCTAGATAGATAGGTCAAGACTCATTTTAGAATTAATTTTGTGATAACTTTCAATAAATGAAAGTCATAATATATTTTTTGTAACAGCTTTTGAATTTTAAAGATTAAAACACTGTGAAGGAATTCTCATATGATTTTCGCACACCTCATTTTCCTTAATCTTTCCTTCTCCATTTATTATTATTCATTAACATTGTAGGTGAAAATTATAATCTTTTATTTTTAGGTTCTAGCAGTGTCCACCCAGCATATGCATCTGTGGTAGCTGCAGCATCAAGTAAGTATGGCGAAGTAAGTATGCCACAAGGCATACAGAGCAGTGTATTTTAAGGCAGCAATGATTCAATAACCTTTCAAGCCTCAGCAAACTCAATGACTGAATTCAAGTCTGGATTTAAACTGAAAACCAGATGCTTGGCCTGAATGTCAGAGATGCTGATCACTCACAGTTCTGAGGGAGCTTCTCTAGTGAATAGCTGCGCATTTCAGCCTTGACAAAAAGCTGGTTTTCACAACACTTGAAACAAAAATTGTGCTGTTTAAATCATATTACATTTCCTATTACTTCCTTCTGTCATATCTCCCCAAGGGAGACTTGATTTAGTTGTTAAATACACGATGCAGAGGGCTGCACAACCATCTAAACTTAGGGCTGAGAGCTCTGAAATGCTGACATGTGCTAAACCAGTGCTCTTTCAAAAACCTTAGGCTGTGGTTCTGAGCCTGGCATAAATGTGATGTTATTCCTGGCATGCCACTTGTTATTGACAACAGAGTGGTGGCTGCTCAGAGCTCTGCATCTCAATCCAGGAGCCTGCTCCCGTTCCAGCTCACAGCCTGCAAAGCAAGTATTTAGAGGTGTTTTCCCATACAGTGTGTAATTGCTCAGCTGTGCAGTCAAGTAAAGGAGAATATTTTCAACTGTTTGCAAGTTTCTGAGCGTGGGGATATGATTGCTTTTGAGTGAAAAGGGAGCTGGGCCATCATTAGATTTTATGCTCCATAGCTATTTCTAACTGCTTTCAGCTCAGCTTTGCTCTCACGTACAAAACTGCAGTCATCCCTGCTGCCAAGTAGTTCAGAGCCACGAATGTGGCAGGGGAGGTATCTTTTGGGTAATTCAGGTCTTGAGGAAAAGCATCATTAAGTCAAATTTAGTTGTGAGTGCAGAGCAAGAGCAGAGGCAGGAGGCAAATGTGCAGGTGGGTATGTGTATGGCAGGATTTACAGAAGTGACAAAACAGTTCAAAGGGTTTTAAATTCAATGGGAATCTGCATGTTTCAGTGCCTAATGTGCCTGTAAGCCTGGTTCTGATTGTTGCTTTCTTTTCTATTTCCTATTACCGTAGGCTGAGCACAGAAGAGGTCATTACTGGTTTTACTAGCAATCAGAAAGCCCTGTTTGAGGTCCCCAGTCTGGGAGAGATGCATGTTGGGAGTACAGTTCTGGCAACATTGAAATCAGAGGGAAAGTTGCATCTGTCTTTAATAAGACTAATAATTTAGTCAAAAAAAAAAAAGAAAGAAAAAAACACCAACAACCCCAAAACAAACAAATAAGCACTCACGTTTTCCAAGCCTTTCAGTGGTCATATAATTACAATTTGGAGAGATCTTTCTTCACTTCTTTACTGAAGTCCTAAACATATATTTACTCCAAAAAGATTAAAGTGATCAGACTTAGGGACAGGAGTAGTAGAGACCCACTTCTGATTTCACAGGCTTCATTTCTAGGATTATGTCCACCATGCATGTACCCGATATCTGGCTTCCTGAATTCTCCTGAGCTCTTCTTGATTCTAAAAGAGAAGAGAAGAGCTGGATAAGCAAAAAAAAAAAAAAAATACAGAAAGTATAGATACAGTTCTGATGCAATGACCAAACACAAAAAGGTTTAGCAGCTGTCTCTGTCTAAGGAGCCCCTTAGGACTCACTGCTATTACTCAGGCCAGAGTTTCTGATTATGCCATTGGTCTTAATCAGACTTGGGCTTGACTGAACAGAATCAGATGTTCTCCTGTGCACCTTGGCTCACAGGGACTCACAGATCTACCTCTCACTGTGCATTGGTAGTTTGCCTGCAAAAGACACCTCAAAAGTAAATAGCCATGAAACAGAGCACAGTCAGAAGGAACATGGCTGTGCTAGCTCTGGTGTTACGATTTCCAGCCACTGGTACTGGCCCAAGTTCACAGGTAAAAAAGAAAAGCAGGACTTGCAGATTAGAGCATTAGAGCAGGGGCAAAACTCCTGCCCTAGTTCTTGCTGTTCTTGTTCTTTCCCCTTTATCTACTGTTTGTTAAAGGAACAGGAAAAATATCAGAGACCTCTCCATTGCAGAACCCCTGCTTTAAAGACTTGATGTGACAAAACTGCTAAAAGAAAAACCAATTTAATGTTCAACCCAGTTCTTGGGATTTGCCTGGTGACTGTCCATCCCCAGTTTGTTACAGACTTCTCCTAGTCCTGTCTCAGCCTTCAGCTTGCACAGAACTCTGCTTAATGAATGCACAATCACATGGCACAGCCTCACTGGCATCTCAGATCTGAACGAAGAACAAGCTTTTCAGACCATGGAAGTGCAATTCCAACCTTTCCTCCTCTACCAGCACTGTGTTTGCCCCAGCCAACAAAAGCATAGCAGAAACCAGCTTACCAATAGTAACATGCCTTTGGGAAGTACAGCAAAAGGGAACAGCCCCAAGGCACAGCACAGTCAAAAGGAGCACAGAGAGAAACCCATGTTGCTAACGTGGTTGGGTTAATTAACTAAAAAAGCGGCATAAAATACTTGGATACTGAGCCAATCTCTTTCTTACCCTCTTGTACTCTGTTTCTACTGACCTTGTAAAGAGTGTTAGATACACATCTGGGCTAAGTTGTGGCAAATGTGAAACAAGGTGAGCTCTGAGGCTTAGAGTTAATTTTCTACCGTGACTTTGGCACATACTGACCTCCTGTGTGGAAAGCATGCCCTGCACAATCCCACACAACACTGACTACTGCACACACAGACTTTTCCAAGCCATAGTCTGACAGGGCCTGGCCTAGCTGTGGTCCATCTGGAGCCTTACAAGCTTACAGGGTTTAAAAGCCTTGCCAGTTTTGGTAGATGAGCCTGTTATTTCCTTAAACAAGATCTCTTTGGCATCTGGAGTTTGCAAGGTCTCTCAGGACAGCTCCTAGAAATCCCATCAGTGGGCTTCTAGTGGCCTGGAAGGTTCAAGTTTGGGTCAAAGGAAGCTATTTACTGTCACCTAATTTTGGAATATCAGGTTCCCAAGGAGCAGAAATTCCTGTTTTCTGAGATGACCCTTCAAAATGGTCTCATTGAAGACATCTTATTGATAAAATAATCTCATGGGTCCCTGTTCAGTGTCCACAGGAGTCAGCTAGAACATTCCCAATGATTTCACCCAGCTTTGGAATTAATCTTTCTGGGAAAACTAATGAATAAAGGCTTGTTAAAGGATAAGTTTGTTAACAAGCTTCTTAAGAATAATTAATGAAATGAAAGGCATGATTAAAGACATGGTTTTCATCTGCAAATGCTTTGAGCCTTTAGTATTTTTGAACAATGGGAATTTAATAACCCGACCCAATCACCTTAAAAAAGCCTTCTGTGTAAAGACATTTCAAACACATGAATTCTCCCACATTATGTTTCATTGTCTCATTATTTACCATCTGCCTGCTTGCTCATATCCACTTACTCTCTGCAGAAAGGGTAGTATATGGTCTGAGGTCTTTTTTTTTGGTTTGGGGTTAAAACCTTCCTCACACAACCAGCACAGCTGGATGGTACTGAAATAGAAAAAAACATAGACAAGCAGTGTGGGTAAGAAAGAAAGTCATAAGGGAAAGCAAACCACAGAAGTAACTTCAAATCTTTTAAATGCAAACCAGAGACCCGTATAAGTAATAATCATAACCGAGGGGAACTTTAATTAGGCTAATCTGTATGACAAACAGAGCAAAGCAATCTTTTATTTAAGCAGGCTCAAATGATACAGTTAACATCTGAGGAAGTCTATTAATAAAAACTTCATATGTGAAGCATTAACTCTGACAGCTGTAAAATGAGACTCAGTGAAAAAGCCAGGTAGCAGTATCCTGAACCAAACATGGTATAAACCACACTTTTCCATTTTGCTGTCTACTTAGGACAGGTTCAGGCTGCACAAGGAAGAGGACAGAATGCAGGTATGTCTTAAATTAACAATAACTAGTAGATTTGTATTGCTAGAATACCAGAAAATGTTGTGTTTAAGTTCCATGTGCTAACCAATGTAATATTTTCAAAGCATTCAGGGGCACTTCCACCTCTGCAAGTAACAGGAATATTGTACGACACAATACAGGTAAAGGCATTACAACCTTCCTCTATTTCCTCCCTGTAGATAGTTCCACAACTCACATCTACTGAGTTAGGCAGTAATGCACTGTTTTTCGCTTCTAACCACATTCATAGCAGGATGAAGTGAGAGCTTATATTACACTGGTGACACTAGCATAACCTTTAGGGAAAAAAGTAAAGAGAATTAATAAAACTTAGAATTGTTCTCAAAATAGTATTCTAAAACCATTTATAGAGGTCTTTTATAATATTTGCTGTTACAAAATGAGGGAGGAACTTCATGTCTGTGTAAGTTTGTGGGATGAAGGCCTGACCCTGAAAGGAGACTTGTTTTCAGGTCCTAAGCGTGATCGGTATCCCAGGACCTCCTAACAGTTATTCTAGTGCACCAGCTAATATCTGCATTGTGCAGTATCTGCTAACATTGAAACTTTACTGCTTTTGCCAACCTCCTTCAGCTTTTAAGTTCTTTTCTTTTTTTTTTTTTTTTTTTTTAGTTCATAGTTTCCACCTTCCTTTTCCATTTGGTTTGAAAATGTGCAGAAAGGCAATTTGGGGTCACTGCATCCCTTGTGATCATGCTTCTCTCTCCTAGCCCACTGGCATCTAACTTCTCACCTCTTTGTCAGATCACACAGGTATTCAGCGCCAAGAGCCTGTTGCCACCTTCCAGAGGGCTGCCGGCTCTCCAGCCCACTTCGGTGAGCAAAACTGCTAGCAGCAGATTTTCCACTCTCTTTTGTAGTTTTAGCAACCCCAAATTAGCCCTCGTACTGCAGATTGTTTTCCTGTATCCTGGAGGAGGACCAGGGCAAGGCTCATGCACTGAATGCCAATTAGCAGCTTCCTGAATGTGAAAGGCAAAGGAAAGCTCAGTCACTGGTGAGCTGTTCTTTCAGGCTGTGGGAATCAACGTCTACAAAGTGTTTGCAATTTTCCCTATTTGTTAGTCAAAACAAGAAACAAAAAAAACAACTCTGTGCTGCCTATCAGGTCTTCAATAGAGTTAAATCTTCTGCTCATGTGGTTCCCAAGAACTGTTCTTGTCCTAGTCAGCTGCAAGGGCATTCATCTGCCTGTAACTCAGAGCAAAACATCACTCTTTGAGACAGTTTTTCAGCAGGCTCCAAAAACAAAGACATTTGGAGGATCCCAGGAACGTGTACGCTAATTGTGAAGGCAGAGGTTCCTTTTAATGCTGGATGTAGAAACATTACCTGTACCCTTCTTCTTCCCTGGCTGTGCAACTGATCCTTCACCAGCAAGCAGCCCTGTCAGCAGTCAAGTGGCCAAGGCAAATGCTATACTTGTGGCAGAACTAACCCCTAGCATGAGCAACCAGACCCTCTGAGGAGGGAGAGGCTGTGGCACAGGAATGTGTCCCTGGGGCCCTGAGTGCTTTGGTGAGAGCTGGGAAGCAGAGGAGGAGTATTGCAATATTAAAGCACCAAGTGGTCGTTCACTTTGAGGCTAGAGGATGTTATTATGCAGTAGGACTGCATAATGCAGTATGACCAGCCAAGTAAGCTTACCCAGAAACCTCCTCATCAAAATGACAATTAGAAGTTGACCCAGTTGCAGCATATTTAAAATGGATGCAGTTCTCGTCCTAAGATTTACTCTGTTCCCTCACTTATCTACTCCTTCTTATTTCATTCCCCTTTTCCTCCTTCTGGTTTCCACCTGTTTTTATCTTTATCATATTTTTTTTTGCCATTTCTTTTTTTTTATTCTCACATTTTTTGTGCTCCTTCAATTCCATTTGCCCTTGTCAAAATTCAGTACCCACCTTTAGAGGGAAGACAGGCGGCCACCCTTTTCCTGGGCTGAATAGCAGAGTAAATATGTTGCCTGTAAACGTGTTGGTCATGGCAATGCACTGATTATTTGACACCACATAAAGGGTGGGGATAGCCTAGGGTAGCAGACCTGCTTTTCTGGCCAAAGGATGTGTTGGTAAATTCTCAGGCTAGCCAGATCTTTGCCAGAAAAACAGGAAAAAAGTGCTGAGTCTTATCTAAATCAAAGCCAGTGTTTGACCCCACCTAATCACTTAAGCACCTTACAGTCCCCCCAAAGTGATTACAAAGCACAAATCTCCCATCATCAATTATTCTGTTTTCTTCATCAGAGAACAAGCAAGAAAAAAACCACAAACACATACTTGCCATATTCCCAGTGAGTCCTGATCCTTTTTTCAGCCCAGGCTTTGGCAGCTCGGATGTGTTGCTTTCAAGCAGCAAATTTTTCTATCAAAAGGAAATTCTTTCTTGGAGAAAGAAAAGACATTCTTTCTTGGAAAAGCGAGTTGTTCTTCTTGATCCTGCTGAGCAATCCTGCTCTGCAAACAGCAGCAATGAACTCTGCAGGTTTGGCCATGCTGTCAAGAAGCTTCCTCTCATCAGCTCAGGTCAGCAAAAGGGTTTGCTGAGGAAAACACCTTCCCTGATATACCAGTTGGACATTCTTCAGAAGGTCTCAACTCTTCCAAGCTTTTGACAACACACACTAACTCTCTTGAAATCCCATGCTCACTTAGCCCTAAATGTTTTTCAAGGCAATTATCCTGAAGAGTTGTGGTGGTGGTGTCTTTTTTTTTTTTTTTTAAGACCACTTTTGGAGTATTTTAAAAATCAACGCTTTGCTTTTATGGGCATCTTCAAGTGGAGAACAAAAAAGCCTTAGTTAAAAGAATAATTATTTCACTTTCAGATATTCATTTCATTGACAGCTTTCTTCGTTATGTGCCTAGGACTACATGCAAGAAATAGCGCTTTTGCCTGGATTAACCTGGTCACCCAGAAAGCTGCATATTCTCTATATTTGCAGCCAGCCACCCCAAATCCTTGGCACTTATCTTGTGTCTTTCCTCATTAAGAAAGTAAACCACCACAGAAAGTTCTAAATAGGTGAACTGAGAAGAGTGGTCGAAGAAGCAATCAAGAGGGATTTGGACAGACTAGAGCACCTGGGGACATCTGAGCTGAAGTAGTTCTTAAGAGTGAAAAACTTCAGCATTGCACCTACTGACAAAAACCAGTCTTTTTTCTTTTCCAGCATCTGCCTGTCTTTCTGAAAAGCATCTGTTTGTCTTTTTTGAGCTTAAGCAGTCAGAGATGTTAAAGGAGCCTGTGTTCTGAGGATACTACCTGTCAATGAAGTGATAGCAGAAAGAAACCTATGACACACGGGATGCACACACGGTATTGCTCTGATCTTTCAACTCACATCCCTACGCACAAAGAAGATGGGCAGACCTATATGCAGCTGCACAGTGAAACATGACAGCGTTCCTTCTACCTTAAGGGAGACCACACATCTTTTTCATCCATCTGTCTCATGCAACAAGTCTCCCTCCCAAAGAGAAGCTAATAGCTCCTCACTGGAAGGGCAGCCTAAGGACCAAATCAGTTCTTTCACTAGGCTGGAGCACACTGGCAAGCCCATGCATGACTTTTTCCAAACCTGCATTGTAGTTCACCCACTGGCTCTAGCCAAAAGCACACCAGCTCTGTGCAGCTTGTCAGGTCTTCGATAGAGTTAAATCTTCTGTTCCTGTGATTCTCAGGAACTGTTCTTGTCCTAGTCAGCTGCAAGGGCATTCATCTGGTGATAACTCATTGCTCTTTCAGATGCAGCAGGCTTCAAAAACAAAGACATTTTGGGGTTTATTTATAAAAGCAGCAATTTTGATGAAGTTATCCATGCCTGACACATGGCAAGCAATATTTAGGCAACTTCTTTCTATTTGGATGGGCTGTGGGGATAGAGAAACCTGTAGGTGAGAGGTACTTGCCGATTTTCAGTGCAAAACAACCTAAACCAAACAAAAGTATACCCAAGTCAGTATATGTGCCTCAGTATCAATGCAATTTAGAGGAACAAGACTAAAACAGATCTAAGGATCTAAAACCTTAAAAAAGATTAGAGCTCTGGAGGCAGTGATACAAGACTCCTAACTATGGTTTGAAATGTGTGCACAAAGGTTTTCAGGTTTACTGATCTCCTCAGCTCCTAAGTTGTTAATGTAAGCCATTGTATGAACTGACCTTTCTAAATTAACTCAGACCTCTATAACCTCTAGTAATTCCATTATTTTCAGTCACAGTTTTTCTTCTCTTTCATGTGTAAAAGCAATGGAAACAGACTCATGGAAACCTGGACTGAGCCTTTTTGACACAGGTAAATATTTTAAGTATCTGGTAACTAGTAAGGAAATAAGTGGTTTCCATCACACATGGGAAAAGCTAAATCTATTTATTCATCAGGCCTGTGACACTGGTGATAACAATCTCATTTTTTGAAGCAATTACAGCATGTAAAGTTATAAAGAAGGTATGTCGTTTACATCTTCGTAAATTATTCTGTGCTTGCATCAGTCTTGAGTTCCTGCCTAAAGCAGGAGCAGAACAGATGAGTTCTGGAAAGAGTTGGCAGCTACACTACAGGAAAAGAGTTCTAGCTACTGAAATCCATTTGTAAATGACAAAGTATTTTGGGAATGTCACAGCTGGGATCACAGTCTAGAGCTGCAATCAGATTATTCTGATGTCAATACACTTAGGGAAGACATTCAGATAAGAAAAGAAGGATTTAAGCCAAATGTAAAGAATAATGAGCATCACTGAAATTTTCTGACATTTTAGCCTTAAAAACTGGCAAGCTGGAGATGATAAGATTTTATAAATACTGCTGAGGGGAAAAAAGCCCTACATTTGTAGCAAGCTCTAGTAGCCACAACAAGACCAAGACTTGTGCAACCCTTGATCAAGAGCAGTTATGAACTGCAGATTCTACATGTTCAACATTTAAGGGCCCCCTTTGCTCAGAAACACTAAAAGCAGACTACACAAGATAACAGGCCAATTCATGACATGGAACTCTCCCTCTTACAAGGGCCTTGACCATCCAATATAAGACATCTTTTCCATCACAGTTTTCTTGCTATAGAGGGCCATGCTGGTGCCCTTATAAAGACCATTCCCTGGAATGCTCTGCTTACTTCAGAGCTGAGGTACAACTAATCCTTGCACTGGCTGTGATGAACAGCATAACCCATATGCATTACCTTGCAAATCCAGGGTCAGCAGCGATAGCTGTTGAGGCAAAATTTGCACCATCCCAAACACAAACAGATCACCCTTCTCCAACAGCCTGAGCCAAAGAGAGGAAGCGTTTCTATTCTCTGTAGCTTAAGCCATTAGTGTGCTTATTCGGGAAAAGCTCTAGGAGTGCCAGGGGTGCAGAAGGATATTTTGAGGCAGAAAATGACAGATTGCATTAAATACAATGAAAGGTTGGGCGTGGGGGAAGGGATGTTGTATTCGTAGTTTCTCAGCAACTGAAGTGCCAGCGTAGACTAGTGTGATAAAGCCTGATGAATTCAGATTGTCACTTCAGAGGAATTGTTCCTGGCGTGGATGTAGTCGCTGCTGTCTTACTCAAGTGAATGGGAAGTTTAATCAGTGTGGACAGCTGTGACAATCAGTGAAGGGAACTTTAATTAGCATGGCGTAGACTGCCCAAGCAGCAAGTTGAAATTCCCATGGCAATACCAACGTTAAATTGGACTGGCAGAGCAGGGAGGCCCATAGAGACTGCCCACCTTCCCAATTAGTTGGGGAAGAGCATTTGGTGGGTGACCTTATTGTTCCACTAAGCACAAATCAGCCAGCTGACCCACAACCTTCAAGAACTGGTGACTGTACTGGCAAATAAAAAAAAAAAATGCTGCACTGCCTACACTTGAATTTTCTATACCAGCAAAACTAATGTCAGCTGTATGCCTGGAAAAGGGATATGGGGTTCATTGGATACAGATAAGTGCATGAGGCAGATAACTATGATTTAGCTTCTGTATACAATTTAGCTGCTAAAGTGGATGGCATATGTTAATATCTAATTTCACCACAGTGTTAAATCCACCTACTTTCTGTTCTGCAAATAAGGCAAGGTTGGGGGGGAACTGCACATATGGGATACCAAGCTGGCACATGTGAGGTATGCAGTGTGCAGGCTGCAGGATGAAGTGTGGCTTTGGTCTGTTACTGAGGAACTATGACATGCCTGTGTAATTAAAGACTGTTTTTTTAAAGAAAAAAAACATTAATCATTTTCATCCATGTGGTTGACAAAGAGAGGATGAGTATGGATCAAAGACATGTTGCCCTTAACTTCCACATCAGATAAAACCACCATAAGCCTGTACAAGGCACCACAGAGCACCACGTACACAGCACCAAAAAGCCACACCAGCCCTCAAACAGTCCTAACCTGGCCAGACATATCCAGGGAAATTCTCAAACAAAACACACAAGGCAATTGCCAGCTCTTGCCATAAACAAAGTAGGGTTACTCTTTGTGCCTTTTATCTACTTCATTCATAGGTGACCACAAGGGCTCCTGTACAAGGTCGAGCCCAGTGCCCCAGCCGGCTTTGTGTCCTAGTTTTAGTGACAGGGCAAAAGCAGATGCCTGGGGACAAGCAAAGGAGAAGGAAATCACACAGGGCTGCTGTTAGCTGGTCTATATAGTCTCTGCAGTAGAAACTTTCTTCACTGGCAGCTGAATTTAAAACTAAGAAACCAAAGCAACCTGTCCCATACGAATGCTGCATTGTGCCATAGCCTCCCAGCAGGGGAGCAGGCACCAGGCCAGCTTTACACTAGGTCCTGCATACTCAGACTTACTACAAACGTGGCCCCTGACACAGAACTAGGCACAGCTTTCAGCATGCAGGTAGAAGGACTCCTTGAAGATATATTTGACAGTTATGAGAGATGGATTATTAGACTTAACTGGAATAGAAATAGGAGTGGTGACAGAGGGAGGTGGACTTGTATTTCCCCCCATTTTCTTGGCAGTTTTCTGCATTAATATGGCTTGGTCATTAATACATTCAGCAACCACCTCCCCTCATATTTAGTTGGTGACCTTCCCTGATGTCCCTTGACATACACTGCTCTCATCCTCAGCTTGCTTATGGCTGGCTGCTGTGTGTAGACAAACTCTGTGGCACCTAGTAATTTCTCATCTTTTTTCTATATTAAGCTCACATTTTCTGAAGTTACCTTTTTACTGTCTCTCCAAAGTCTGTAGTCTCTCCTTGACTTATTTGGTGATGAAACTTCAAGGAAGTCTTCCTCCTCCTTTTCTTATAAAAATGAATGTGCTGTTTACAAAATAATAAGCTGTTCTGGTGTTCTTTAGACCAACTGCTTTCTTGGGGAGCGTTCAGTTTGTGGCTTGCCTAATCACTGATGTCTCCTCTGAGGATTATCCCAGCTAAATCCTCTTAATCTTTTCATGCTGTAGTGAAAAGGAACAGCTCTTTGCCCTTGTTTGGAAGGGAGATACTGCACAGTAGGAGACACTTGCCAGACGTTCGAGTCATGAGTGAAGTTCAGTATTTTCAGACCTTCTGATGCCAGCCTAATGGTGCCCTGTGAATCAGTGCATCTCACAAGGACATAAACTCATGTTCCCAAGGCTGCTACCACCCAAATACCTCACCGGAGTCCTGAGCTAAAATCTACTAGTGGCCCTTAAGACCTTCCCATGACTTAACCATATCTCTCTGACACCATTTACCCTCTCTCTTTTGTGCTTTGCAAAATAACTCAGTCCTCCGGGGGCACCCAAGGAGCTGTGGCTTGCATTATTTTCCCAGCTATAACACGGCAGGGTGAGTCACTCACTATCTGTGCCTTCCTCTCCAGACAGAGAAGCAACATGCTAAACTTGTCGCTCATCTGCTTCAGACATTGTGCAGCTCACCGTAAGGCATGGTGAGCCAGCAGGGTGGCAGTGCCGGTTCTTGGGGGCAAACTCCTGGGAAGTCACCATCCCACACCGTGGCCACCAGCCTCTGCTCCTGAGGAGCCCTCTATTTGTGCATGTTGCTCTCAAGCCCTGGTAATTAGGGGACTGACTCCCAAAGGGGATTATTCAAAGTTGGTGTTTGGAGAGAATTGTCTCTGCTCTTGCTCTACCCTAGAAGTGATGTAGGTGGGAAAAGGTAAGCTCCAAGGTAGCTTACCCCCCATTCCCTCCCACATCACTCCTCCGGCCAGGGGGTCTCTGCAGTCACTCTGTTGCTTGCTTCCTTAGAGAACAGAGGCAGTCACTAAGCACACACTGATGGAGCCTTTCATTTCTCTTTCTAGGTTTCAGTTCAAAGGAAGAATTGAATCCGAAGCCGCTGGAGTCCATCTCCCAGGGTAACCAGAGTACGTACTTCAGAATTAATTTCATAATTGAGCCATACCATATTATTAATTACATATTGCTAGAACGCATTTAAATTAGATAGCAAAAGGTAAGTTTTTGAGACAGCCTGTGAAAATCCAGAAACACATTTTTCTCTTGCAGAGAAAGAGCGAGCACTCTCTGCCGACCCCTCTTACACATGTAATTTATTTTTGCTTCTACAAGGAAGGAAATAACAGCCAAAATTTAGCTCACCTGGGCAGGGAGATAGTGGCTGCTCACTGCTGCTTCTTCCCAGGCTGCCTCTTCCCAGCTCCATGCTCCTGGGGTGCAGAGCTTCTTCTCTCAGGGACTTTGATGGTGCAGGACAACAATCCAGCGCATTGCAGCCAGGGCTAGACAAGTGAGTCCTGCTGACCATAGCAGACTCCCATGGGTATGCTGTGTGTGGGTACCCTTCCCACAGCAGTGGGTGGGAGGGAAGGAAATCACCTAAGAAAGGGACCTGGTACCTGCCACAGCAAGGAGAGAGTGGATGCAGAGGGGCCACCAAGGATCCCTTAAGTCCAGTGAGGAAAAAGTAGGCTCCCCTACTCTAAAAAGGAAATCTTCTATGCCCTTTCTAATTAAAGACAGATTTGCCCATTATCTTATCTTTGGATGGGGACCAGAGCTGAAGAAGAAACAGAAAGCAAACTCTGAGTGGAGAGATGGGGTGGTCTGCCACCTCCTCATAAGAAGCCACCTCGGAGAGGGGGCTTCACCCTCCCAGCGTTGCCTGGGTCTTCTCTTGCCCACCCGCTGGCTGCTGAACGCTGACTGGACTCTTTATATGAACTGCTGAACCAAATGCCTATATATTCCCAGGCACTCCTCCTAATACTTAAAACTATTCTTTTCCCTACCAAAGATGTCAAATATACCTGAAATTGATACAGAAATAAGGGAAAGAAGAAAAGGGGAAGGCTCTGTCCTACAGACCCCATCACACTGCAGGAAAGCAGAGCTCAGTGCAGCGGAGACGCAGGCAAGGACATCTGTGTTTCTAGCAGTTGAACTGAGATAAGACACACCAGAAGCAAAATTCTCATCCTGCTGATACCTCTAGGATCATAAAATCTCTAATTCAGATCTTGCCTCCCTGCAAATCAGAAAGTGCTCACCTCCCTATGAAGTACCTTTAGCCTGTGCTCTTGCAGTGTCCCAGCACCAAAATACTCCCGCTGTCCGAATCCTCCCAGAAATTAAGTCTGTATATAAGTGTATGTAAATCTTTGCACACCCAGACCCTGCTGGCCAACAAACTGCCTACTTTCCACATATAGGTCTCATGGTGTAGCTCCCTTTGAAGGACAAGAAATTCAGGAAAACTTGGCCGTTAATTGAGACATTTGTTGTGGGTTCCCGACCCTGCCTCACGATTGCTGTGAATGGACACAGTTCTCAGTCACGGTCCTGTAATTCAGCATTATTAGAATTAGAAAAAAGAGACAGCTACGGGAGAAAAAAATTGAAGGTAATGAGATGGGAGGAAGTTGCATAAGCCAGTAAGAACAATTGGTGCTTTGTAGCCTTCGGGCTACCTAATGATTAAAACACACTAGTTTGGACAGTCTGATTGGTAGGAGGCATCATCACGGGGAAATCAAGAGATAGGGATGACCCAGATGCCGGAAGGGGAAAATGTTAATTAGCACTCTTGTTAAGCCAAATTTTGATCCCACTCCTGGTCGCACACCAATGATGAACGTTTCACCACTAACTTTCAGAGACATGAGAGCAGGCTGTCAGTGATGAAGACAGCATTTGCAGAAGCACAAAGATGAGGTTCATCTGTGTCATTAAAGGGAAAAGCTTGTTTGGGTGCAGGCATACCTTTCCTAGAACACTGTTTCAGCTCAGAGAGGCAACACACAACAGCACACTGCTGCTGCTGCTGCACACACAGGTCCACAACAATATGTAAAAAAACCAGCTCCCACTCAGTCTGAGCACAACAGGCAAAATCCTCTTCCCTGATGTGAGCTCCAGCCCGGAATGAAAGTAAGGAACTATTTTCATTCAAAAGTGTAGAGTTGCCAGGATCATTGTCAGTAATCTTGGATTGTAATCTGCTTGAAAAGACCCCACGGCTTCCTCCCCCTGAGGCACATCCCAGGCATCACACATTTTGGGAACTTCCCTCCTTTCTGAGCAGCATTAACAGCATATGTGAAGAACTGTTCCTGTTATGTCTATTTTATCAATTAAGTCCACAGAAGTATAACCAAGGAAATCCCTGTAGTTTGTGCTCTGCAGGTGGCCAGACCACAAAATCTAAGGATCATGGCTGGCTCTACAAACTCCCACCACCTCTGGACTGCAAATAAAGCATGCTGAGTCCCAGCTGTGGCACAGGATACAAGTCAGCTTGCTCTTGCATGGCTGACCTCTCTAGCTGCCAAATGCAGTGCTCCCAGACTGATCCCTGGGAAAAGATTCTTGCCCTTTTGTCACACAAGCTCAGAGGCTGTTTGGTACAAAATTATGCCAAGAATTGTGTTTATCAATGAGTAGGACGGACTTGAGCCCCCAGCTGTGATTTGTCCTCGTCAAAGGCTTTTCACAGAGCTTGCACAGCAGGACAAATCACTGGATGCAGACATTTTAGGCCTTTGCTGCTCACAAGAAGCACAGCTATCAGAAAGGACTAAAAATATCTTCCGTGTTTCTTTATCTCTCCTCAGATTGCAAGGTTGATTTGTCCTTCTTAATGGATGGAAGCTGGAGCATTGGCAAACGCCGCTTTCAGCTCCAGAAGCGGTTCCTTAGTAACGTGGCTCAAGCCCTTGGCATTGGCAGTGCTGGTCCTCTGATGGGCATCGTTCAGTATGGGTAAGAGTTTCTGGGGCAGCTACTCCCATTGCCACAGGGCATGACCGCACAAAGGCGATGTGTGCTAAAGGTCTCACTCCAGCTCATATTCAGGAACCAGGTAGCACAGATCAGTCCTACAGCTTTTGTGTTGTATGTGAAGCAAAACACTGACACTTGCTCTCATTTCTTCTTTTAGTGATGACCCTTCCACAGAATTTAACTTAAAAACTTATGCCAGCTCCAAGGAGATAAGAAACGCCATTGAGAAAATTCAACAGAAAGGGGGACTTTCCAATGTTGGTAGGTGATGGGGCTACTTACACATCCTCAGGTCAGGAAGGACTTAAGAGCCTGGGCTATAGCGAACCCACATGTCCTCTTGGGGACAGAGGTTGTGACCAAACAGTGCTCAGTGCTAGGACAGCACTGGTGAGAGGGCACTGTTCCCACCATGACCTGCATGTGTTGGTACAGGGCACTGCAAATCCATCACAAGTGGAGAGGAGAGACCTATCTCCTTGTGGGTAGTTCCCATTGTACTCTGGGAATCCTTGCTAACTCAGCTCATCACCCTGAGCTTTTCTGGAAGGGGGTTCAGCGCAGGAGGGCTCAGGAAGCACTGACACTGACAAAAATGACCTCCTCCCCACTCACGCAGCCACAGAAACTGCTTTCCCCAGCTCTCTGCAGCCTCCAATGCTTGAGTCAGCCCCCTACCTACCATTTCATGGGATATTATCAGGCAGAGTGCTTCCACATCTGTAACTCCTCAACTCCTCTCTTATTCCAGGGAAGGCACTTTCATTTGTTAACAAAAACTTCTTCTTGGATGCTAATGGAAACCGAGGTGGAGCACCCAACGTGGTTGTAGTGGTGGTGGACGGGTGGCCGACCGACCGCGTGGAAGAGGCCTCCAGGCTGGCCAGAGAATCAGGGATCAACATTTTCTTTGTCACAGTTGAAGCAGCTGCTCAAAATGAAAAGCAGAATGTTATTGAACTGAACTTTGTGGACAAGGTATTTAGTAGGCTGGGTCTTGCCAGGAGCTTGGCTCTGACTATGTTTTCCAACCTATTTAATTCAGGGCATTTCCCTTTCCTTCTTACCTTGACAGTTATTTCTTGTCCTGCTTGTATGCACTGTCCTGAGGTCTCCTGTACAAAAAGCCAGGCAGTAATGCTGAAGTCAGAATGAAGTTCAGTAAAGTTCTGGTTTGAGGTGTATCATGGGGCAAATGGCTTTTGTCCGACTAAACATTGGCACACAGCTGCAGTCATACTGAGGTGAGAGGTTTTCCAAGTATACAGCAGTATGACAAAGCAAAATTGCAGCCTGAGCTTTTAATGAGCCTACTGCTGGGCATTTCCCACCCAGCAAAGGGTGAGAAGCCCTGTCAGCCTAATGTCAACGTTGCATTTACAAACAGGTCCCATACAAGCGAATGTGGGGACAGTTGCAACATAAGCGCATCCTAGTTTTTCAGCTACACTGGGTACCTCAAACATTTTGTTTCCACTGTTGATGCACATTATTTTTCAGTTATTTGTTTCTGCTGCTATGGTAACTTCATGGTAGCTCTTAGAAAAAGAGTAAATCCCTGCCATGTGCAGCTAAAAATGAGAATGCAAGCCTTGATCGATTTGTATTTGGCACCAACAGTAGCTGCCTGCTCAACAGCGCTTCAGGGCAAGCTGGCACCCAGTTACAGCAGGAGATATCTACCAAGTGCCAGAACGGGCTGGGCTCAGGAAACACTGTTGAGTTATCCGGTATTTTCAAAAAACAGATTCCAATCTGAGCTGAGTTGCTCTGCCATGGATCATTCCCATGAGTTTCAGAGCTGCTCCAGAGAGCTGTGTTGTCTGGTCAGCATTTAAGTGGATTGTAGTCTCATTTGCATTTAGTATTTTTAAGAGAGTAAAGGTACAGTGAGTGTCTGCAAGCCTGCCAGGAACACAGCAGAAGTGTGAGTAGAGTGGACTCAGAATAGGAAGGTAAAGAAGGACTTGATACTGCTGCATCGTAACACTAAAATAGAAGCAAGACAGGAAGAAGAGCAAATGAGGGCAGCAAACTGTGAGGAGCCCAGACTGGAGGGAACTGTAACTTCCTTATGCAAGTGCCTTGGCCTTTTAAAAGAGTCAGATACACACACCATCACTACGTTGATAGATAAAGCCTGGCTTAACAAAATACTTTTATCCAGAGACCTGAGGCATTAACATTTATAAGGCATTAAAGCCAAGGACAATTTGATCCTGCCTATTCACACACTTCCTTCCCTGTCCCCACTTGACTTCTCCCACTTCCTCTTCTGTGACACCCCTGTTTCCTACCCACACTCACCTGACTCCCACTATAGACCCTTCCCACAGATCTGGCCTCTATGAGTATTTACTTATAAAAGTTAATGATTTTTTTGTTTATTTTTTAATAGTTGGCAGAGTCAACACACTGAGCTTTTTGCATTTTTCATCAAAATTGCCTGGGTTTTTCTGCTTAGAATGGTATGAGCCCAGGATAATCCAAATTAAGCCCCAGGTTTCACTTCAGGGTAGTAGGGTTTCTCAGCAGCGAAAACTTTCCTTGTTGCCCTGAAGGATGGGAGCTGAAGTTGCTTCCCAGCAAACACACAGGCTCCTAGAATGCTATTGGAGCCACGCTAACAGAAGCTCTGTAACTCATGTAAAAAAGCTTGACAGGTGGCAAACTTCCTTATTACGTTTCTTTCACTACTGTAATATCAGCTCCATCCCACAGCTTTTAAAAAAAGGCAGGAAAAACTTTCACATTACAGAAGTATCTGTGATGTTACACTGACATCATTTCCCAGGGAAGCAGATGGTGACTGGAGGAGAGGCCATTTCAGACTCCAGCATTGCTCTTTCCAGGAGCCTATATTTACAGTTTAGCTACATATCCCAGCAGAAGCAGGCAGAGTGGATTTCCACTGCGTTCATCCTTGTGTTGCCTTGCAGGCAGTGTGCAGGACAAATGGTTTCTACTCCATCAACGTGCCCAGCTGGTTCAGCCTACACAAGGTGGTCCAGCCCCTGGTGAAGCGGGTCTGCGACACCGACCGGCTGGTTTGCAGCAAGACGTGCCTCAATTCAGCCGACATTGGTTTCGTCATCGATGGCTCCAGCAGCGTCGGCACCAGCAACTTCCGCACGGTCCTCCAGTTTGTAGCCAACATCAGCAAGGAGTTTGAGATTTCAGACACGGACACCCGTGTTGGGGCCGTTCAGTACACCTATGAGCAAAGGTTGGAGTTCAGCTTTGACAAGTACAGCACGAAGGAGGATGTGCTGAGTGCCATTAAAAGGATCAGTTACTGGAGTGGTGGGACCAGCACAGGAGCAGCCATCAGCTACGCCTCAGAGCAGCTGTTCAGCAAATCCAAACCCAACAAAAGAAAGATCATGATTCTCATTACAGATGGCAGGTCTTACGATGACGTCAGCGTGCCGGCCATGGAAGCTCACCGAAACGGTAAGCTCCTCTATCACTACCTGCTCTCCCCACGTGTCCCAGCATTTTTCCAGATAAATGCAGTTCGCTATGATGTGACAGCACCAGAAGAAACTTTATGAAGGAAGAGTAGTACTTAACCCTGGGGCCTCTTTGAGCTCTAACAAGATCAGTAACTGTTTAACACCTGAATAAGGAACTTCAGGGGAAAAAAAATAATCCCATTAATCATTGCAAATGCAGCTATGTCTAGGAGATCTCAAGGGACTTCTACTGTCTTAGTAACACATGACTCCTTTGGCTTTCCAGTCAGGATAGTCATATCTTCCAACACATTTGCATTGGAATAAGAGGTTGTTGTTCAGAAGCCTGTTGCTTAGACCCAGAACAAAAGCTTTACTATTGTTTAAGCCTTTTTTATTGTTGGCAAAAGGTGCTTCTAAAGCACAAATTAGACCTTTCTTCCAATTTGAAAATACCACTTTCATACAGAGAGAGCACTCTAATTCACTGTCCACTTTTTTGTGGTCTGGAAACTACATTTGCAGAATTGGTCTTAAATTAAATTTAATGCAAAGAAAACTTTTATGCTTCTTCTATTTCTTTCCAGGAGTCATTGCTTACTCCATCGGAGTTGCTTGGGCAGCCCCAGATGAACTGGAAGCCATTGCAACAGACCCTGCTAAGGAGCATTCCTTCTTTGTGGATGAATTTGACAACCTCTACCGCTATGTTAATCAGCTCATCCAAAACATTTGCACAGAATTTAATTCCCAGCCACGGAACTGATGGACTCAAGCAAGGCAGGACCCTTGGCACCATGCTGAAGGCACATCAAGTGCCAGGGAATAATGCCAGCCCTCAGTACAAAAAACACTGAAGGTGTTTTCCTCTGGCACTTTCCAGTCAGCAAGGTTGATTGCAGCTCTGCCCCTATGCATGCTCTGTGTAGACTGTTGATATTTTTTTTTCCCTTGCAGCCTTCAGAAACTCTGATTTGGATGGATAGCTAAAGAGGCAGTAAACATGGAGGAAATAAATACAGCAGTTTGAAAAGCTGCTTCCAGAACAGAGCCCCAGCTTGCCCACTTCTCACCTTTGGACACACACAAGCTCCTTACAATGCACCACCTGCTCCCTGAAGCAGCCAGGTCCCTTCAAGGTGGCCATGCTGCTGAGCAGCTGTGGCAGAAGCACCTCTGTTGGCACTGCCCACCAGATGACACCCAGATAAGGGCTGAAAGATCAGATGCTTCTTTTGGATGGGGACCACAGCTCAAATTTGAGTGCCTTCTTAAAAGCAGGCCTTACTCCATACTGCTGTCTTGCCAGCCTGTCAAGCTTCAGCCACTGTTAACTCAAGCACTGAGATTTATCGAAACCCTGTGAGACTGGAAAACAAGTGAGGGGAAAAGGTCAAGCTCTGGGACCATACAACCCTTTGTCAACTCCAATAAAGCCCCAAATCCACAAGGCAGGCAACCTGCAAGAACTGCAAGTGTCCTTCAATACTGCATTAATATTTGATTTTGAGAAGTATCTTGCCTCCTTACCTCTCTTCCTCTGCTCTTGGGTGGCTCAAGACCTGCAGGATCACAGAAAAGTTGCCAGGACAGAGACTCGGAGAAAAATTGTGGGTTTAAGTTGCTCACACTCAGAAAAGCATTTGAGACCTACCACTTTGTTGTTAAACCACTGCTCAGAACAGCTTACAGCAGTTTCTAGTGCTAGGAGAGCTATTCAAGAGCCATTAACAGGATCTAAAATGGAATTGCCTTAAACTCTGTGTTACATACTGGGAAACACAGCATTTCAAGCATTTACAGACACCCTCTCTCAAATTCGGGATAGACTTAAGTTTTAATGGATTGACTTCAAAATGTAGATACTATGGCCCTGGATCAGTCAAAACACACAGTGGTTTCTTAAGTGGAGAACTACTCATATCACTAGTCAGTGAGGGGGGACTGACACACTAGGAGGACCAAAAGAATAGCGCTTTAATTAAGAAGCAGCAGTTGGTGGTTAGGTTCCACCCAGCATAATTTAAGAAAATATGTTCATTAAGCAAGATTATCAAAGAGCCAATAAAAATGTATGTGTCCACACACCTTATGGCAATCAAAGCCATGCCGCATCAGGCTTGTGGAACTAACAGGAAATGGGAAGAAATTAAATTTCCCATATTACTTGCAAATCAAGCTTTTAACAGCATTTATAGTTTTAATAACCATGACCCAAGATATTTATTAGCCACATAAAAATTTATTCGAAATTAATTGCCGCAAGGGAAACTCCTTTCTGTCAGCAAAAGTAGCACAATCTTTTAAATAGTTATGTTTGGAAATGTGATTGAAAAAAGTGCCAATTAAATAAGCATAATGCAAACCAGCAGATTTTGCATGATCCCCCTGGTGTGGTAACATAAGCCAGGCTGGGGACCTCTCAAGAGGTTATCAGAAACAGTCCTGGAGGAAACACTGGTTTTACACAGGGAAGGTTCAGATCTTCCTCTTAGAAGAATATCATCAATTCAACAATGCTACCCAGACAGAAGGTGCAGGCCACTGCCAGACTCCAAAAAAAATTAAAAAAAACCCATAAAATATATTTGCGTGCAGAACTGTTAACACTAATCTGTGCTGCTGCACTTCCACAGCAATAATTTCTTGGCTTGAAAAAATGATTATGAATAGAGTTAGGTATGAGCAGAGTAACACCTAATACTCCCCATTTCCCACCTCCTCACTGTTTGGTTGAACACATCTTTTCTGTCAACAACGGACATTACGTGGGCTGGACAAAACTCAAACGCATGAACTGAATTTAATGGGGACTTCAGTTCACGCGCCAGATTCATTGTCTGAAAACTGTTTACTTGGGGCTTGGTTTGGGGCTAGCTGAGAAAAAGACCTAAGTCTTAACTTATACCTACTCTTAATATTGTGGTTTAATTTTTAATGCAACAACTTACCAACGTGTACTCTTCTCCATACTGACTGTACTGTTGTGGCACTTAAGACTGGTACCCTGCAGAGACTCCCCAGTGTTTCACTTGTGCTCTGCAGGAAGCACAGCAATGACAGCTGAGATATTAGGAACAGCTAGAGCCACACATGTTATCTAGGATATGCATAAGGGATATATGCATATAGGATATAGCTTCATCCTAAAACTTAAACTTTAAGCAATGACAGTAAGCTTTCAAGAGCTCTTTCACGGGGAAGTTGCAGAGCTATCTTATGTCAGGAATTTATAATGGGCACTTCAGGGTTTGTTGTTGTTTAAATGGTTTATCTTAAGTTTACAGAACAACTATGGTGCTCGTTTGCCAATGTATATTTTTATTTACTTCTTCGGATTACCTTGAAATTGTTGGATCTCAAAGTGTGAAAGTGGTTTAATCCAACTCTCATCCAAACTTAGATTCATAAACATTGTAAACTTAAGCAGAAGCCTCAAAACTTATAAGAATACACTCTTCCATTTACAAAAGCAACACACTCCTCTCAACCTTTACCTTTCATAGCAATCAAATTACTTGCCACCTACAAAAGTTTCTAAATACTGTTATTAAAAAACAAGATAACTTACATATGTATCTTGATAAATGTTCAAGGAGGTATATTTGTTTCAGGAAAGCAGCAGAACTCCTTCTGTAACATATACAAGCTATTTTGAGCTTATCAATTGCTATATCTTTTGCAATAAAATTGTCTTAAAGGCATATGCAGTGCATGTCATCTCATATGGGTTTAAAAAAAAACCCACCAAATATGGCCCATGCCATTCTAGTTTCTGAAGCACAGCTGAGGTGATTACTACATTATGGAAGATTGGCAAAGCCCCAGGTGCTTCAATATCCTTTTACATGCTCAGATGTAAAAAATCCTTAGAGTAATCTCAAAGTTAAGGACTCAGAGTCTAAGGACTGAAAGGCATCAAAGACATAAATATTTACCAAAGTCTGCAAAATCATGTCTTATTTAGAGCTAGGCTTCTTTTGGAAGTGGGTGAGGAAGGGAAAAATCACAGAGTTTCCATACACTTTCTAGAGGCAGGACTGAATCAAGAGAGAATCTGGATGTCCAGTTGCTTGATAGTGGGCCACTTAGATGCCTGACCAGTGCAGTGGAACCTGCTGTCTGACAGAGGCATCCCAGAGAAGGGCAGAGGACAGGTCCCACCCAGGACTGGGAGCTGTCTGAACTAGTCACTGGATACCCATTCCAGAAGGTGTTGTCTGATCACCCTCTCCTAAGAAATAAGTATTTTTGCACTCAAAGTTGAGCTGATGGCTTATCAGTGCTCAGCAATCACAGTGCAGAACACCTACCTGGAAATAAATACTGATGTCTATGCTCTGGAAGCCTTGGCAGAGCTCAATCTCAGCACCTCTTGCCTCTGACTCCAGTATTAGCCACTCACATTCTCAGTGAGCCACCAAATTCAATTAAAAGTTCAGCCATCGCTTCACAAAGAGGTAACTCAAAGTCCCGTTTCCCTGAGTGGGACACTCAGCACTTCTGCTGTCACTGTGCCACCCTGCACAGAAAGTATTGCCCACTGTGTGCACCTTCCTGTTCCTCAGCTGTTGTTGCTTTTCTGGTTCGGCAAGAGGAGTTTTTCTCCTGGCTGCTGCTGACAGGTGGGTAGAGAAAGCTTCTCCTTCCTCCTTGCATTCCTTCCCCCATGGCTCTCCAGCACGAGGCAAGCCATTCCAGTAACCAGGAAAAACTCTGGGGTTAAACATCCAGCCAGGACCAACCCAATCTAAACTTGTTTAGTGGATTTAACACCTTACCTGTAAACTCCACAGAAAATTATTCATGTTATTATTCATACTTAGCAAGTGAAACCAAGCAGTAAATATCAAGAAATATTACCTAGACACCAAATTTAAATCAGTCTTCTGTGGAATACATACCTTAAATTACTTCATGGTTGAAAGAAGTCATATCATTCCTCTAGCTATTTTTCTCTGCCCATGAGCAACATTATGGAAACAACTCGATCCCTTTTCTTTTCCTTTCCCACCTAAGTTTTAGAAATCTTAGTCAGTACCAGACAATCTACATTTGCCAAGTCACCTACATACTGCAAATGTACATCTACACAGCTCAGTTCTTCAAATTCCTCAAGGTAATATTTTTTAACTTGTTAAAAATTAAACTGGGTGGGGGGTGTGTGTGCAGTATCACACGTTTTGGCGCTGCATCAGCTACATTACTTACAATCAACTGTGTCAATCATATTGAATGGCAAGAGACACAAGTGTTATTTCTCTTAACACCAGTTTCACCCCCTCTCTGATTTCTAATAAAAACTCTGATAAGTTCAAGAACTCCAGCACTCACGGAAATGACTTCTTTTTAAGCACAAGGAGAAATAGTAGAAGTTTCTCTGTATCACCAAATATAGTCACTTTTCTCACACCCAAATCCTCATGGGAACATGTCTTGTTCATAGGCAAATCCATAAGCATGTTAGGAAGACCTCCCACGGGGAAGAGTCACTCCTATATTGTTCACAAAATCATCTTTCCCACTACCTCAGGAACCTTCTACTGACCCTCTCTGGAGGCAGAACACTGGGGTGAATGTAATTGTATTGTCAATTCATAAAGCAATTACTCCTTTCCTATGAGGCAGGAAGATGAGAAGGACCAAATCAGAAGGGTTATTTTACACCTACCGTGAAGACGAGATAAGAACTTCGCTTATCCCACCTACAAGCTTAGAAAAAAACAGGATGGACTGACTAACAACAAGTTGTTCTGTTCAGTTCTGTGTAGGTTCCCATAGCACCCCCTCACAGTGCCATTCTGAGCACCTTCCTGTAGCAACACGACTACCATCTGTGATGTGTGGTTTGCTCTCCCTCATCCTCCCCCCAAGGGCAGAACCATACACTTATTTTTATTTTAAATGAATGCTGACCTCAGGAAGTGCACTGTGTCTGGCTGAGATTAATGCACCGCAGACAGACCAGCTCCTGCACAACAGCACCACACCCACGCCGCACCTCTGCTCACCCCATATTCACCTAAGCACGTGGAAAGACGTGGGGTGCCAAAGAGTGCTAATTTGGCAGAGCAGTACAAAAGCAAGACATATGGAGAACAGAAGAACTGAGGCATTACTGTGAACAGTGACACATCACACAGCTCCACAGGAACTTCACATGGAGTTACCTCGAGCCCTTACAAACATGTCTACTTGTCTTAGTCTGAGTGCACTTCCCCCTCCTAGCACATGCTCCAAAACCACACACGTCTTATGCAAAATTATGAACACAAATCAAAATGTTGAAAAATAGTATTTATTAGCACCCAATTTACATAATTATATGGTACAAATGACACTTACTTGCTGCTGCAACATTAAATAAAGCTGTTCTTAAAAACCATTTTTTATTTCTGGAAGTCCATGTGATTTTGCTCAGCACAGAATGTGGGTACAGTACACAGATACCCCACTTCACTATTGTCATACCAATACAAATACCTGCATGTTTACCTCAATGAGGTCTCATTTTAAACGGCACACTAACATAAGCAGATCTATATAATTTTAATGACAAAATATTCATTTGACTTATTCAGGCAAGTGAATGTAGCTTTAAATATAACCTATCCAAAAAGTTTCACAAAATATGAATTGCAGTGAAAAAGAGAAACTTCAGGGCTGCAGTTGAGAAGCTCAAAATTATACTGGCATATTTCAAAATAATCTCCCTGTGAATTTTATATCTTTGCCATTTTAGATATTTATCCAGGATTTTAAACTACTGAATTTTAGCAAGAAGTTTCATATTAATTGTTTGAAGAAGGATTTTCATTTAAAGAAAAAATTTATACTTACAATAATAAATGCTTAACAAATCTTCAGAGAAAGAATCACTTCTTCGCTTTTGCTATCTCTCATGATTAAGTAGCCTTTTCAAAATCATGAAATATATTACACTTACAGATGCTTACTCCCAAGGAAACTATTTCCTTCACAAATTAGAAAACAGAATTTCTCCCTTAAAATAAAATTCACTTTTGTAAGACAGTGCCATTTAAACAAGGTAATTTCATGGTATTGAAATTCTGATACAGCCTTGTACTGAGCCATACACAAAAAAATTGACAAGCAGACTATTACACAAAGAGTAGGTATTTCTCGTTTGGATTCAACATTTTGCAAGACATTTGAAGCCCAACGTTGTTTCAAAGTAGTCATTCAAAACTGGCATAAAAAATCATAACCTCAACATACTTCTGAAGGGGAGTCTTAATTTCCCTTAGCTGTTTATATATCATCCACAATAGCATATTTGTATCAACCATTTGCCATGGAAGAGACCCAAAACAGAAGAGGAGCCACCGTACTTACTAACATTTAAGTGGTTATCACCTGTGGTAACTTCTCCTAAAGTGTCAGGTAACTCTAAATTCAAAAGTTATTTCTCATAGAGAGGAAAAAGAACATATTAATATAAGCAATAACAACAGCAAAAAATCTGAACTACAGTCCATATGGCAAAAAAAAATTTCTTTTTTAACCTGACAGTCAATTGAAGATAATTATGTAAAATGCAATGCAGATAGTTTATAAGCTGACAAATGTCAACAGAAAAGCTTACAGCAACAAAAGTCATCTCATCATGGAGTTCCCTCTCTAAGTTTTTTTTTTAGATGCGCTATACAAGGAAAACATAGCACAAGACCGCTTTTCAGTCTGCTTGGGCTACAAACGTACAAGAAATTATTAGCTAACATGCTCAGTTTTCATTTCCAGAACAAGTGCTAACACATATGAGAGTTATCAAAACTGATGCATGTCTGTAAATGTCCAACTGCAAGGAAACAATTCTAGGAGCCATACATCTGAAAACAAGCTACATCCAAAAAAGCACTATATCTTGATGACAGGAAGAATAAAAAAATAAATTCTTAATGGAAAAATATTAGCTTGAAGTCCATTGTTTATCCCTTATACAATGTTTTTGGCTGCTTTTAGTAAGTAATCAAAAAATAATGAATATATTTGGCTTGGCAACAAGTTATCCTTTCCCTTTCAGAATGGTACAAATCCAGCTGCATACATCTTTTCTCAACACTTCAGTCTAATACTGTGGCATGAGGACCGAGGTTTCTCCAAATAGCCAGGAAGTAATTTTGGGAGCCTGCAGTTCAAACTCGGGAGCCTGCAGTTCAAACTTGGGGAATGCAAGGAGACTGGCCTTGAGGACCATGTCAACACAAGGCTTTGAGCAGCTTGAAAACACATGCATGGGCATGGTTTAAACACCTGTGTGATCTCCCAGGATCACAGCATGGCTTGGCAGCACAAGCAGGGCAAAATTAGTTTAACGCACAATACCACAATCCACACTTTACCAGAAAGAAAGTTGGGCTAAAAAGCATATATCATTAAATGCCTTTTTAGCTTGGCCATACTTTGGATCTTGGAATCTAGAAACACATCTCCTGGCAGTGAACCAGCTGAGACCCACAAATTGTACTATTCAACTGGATTTACGCTTTCTGTAGTGAAATTCAGATTCTCAAAAACATCCTAAATGATATCGCACTTTGTAAGCTTTCACAACTGACTACAGAGCAGCAAAACTAAGTCAGCAGGTAGGGTAAGAGATAACTCATTAGAATTAAATGAACTGGGAATAAGGAGGTACAAATCAGTCTTTTGGTGGTGAGAGGGGTAGGGCTGAAGCTGAAACCCTCACCACCCTTCCAGAAAAAATGCTCAGAGAGAAAAAATCAATAGACCTTTGTGAAATCTACCCTGCAGGAAGAGTTCACTGCAGATGAGTTTAAGATTCTCAGAAAATGTAACCTCAAAGTGGGATTTAAGTGGAAAGACTAAAAAAAAAAGATATCAAAAGGATAGATATCCTGCACAACAGCTGTGTTCACTAGCACAGGCAGAGACGTTATTTTAAAGGTCCTATTTCCAACCACCCTCCCTGCTGGGAAGAGTCCCACCAAATAAACAAGATCACTTGTCTGAACAAGGACTATTTACACAAAAGTCATCCTAGTCCCTCTCTGTCCTCTCTAGGAGTTTGTTCGTTTGCTCTGTTCCATGTAACACTATCTCTTTTACAATAGGGGTTGTTTCTTATAAGAAAAACCTGATACAACTGGATGGATCAACACTGGATTCCAACAGTTTCTTTGCCACTCAGCAGAAACATAGCAGAGGTTTTGACTGGCAGTTTACAGGCAACTTGTTTCCTCTAAGCCTAAAGAAATTGATGATGGAAGAGTCAAGTTGTAATCCTCTTCAACCAAGACATTATCAGATTTAGAGAAAACATTCTCGATGCCTTCATGTCCTTATGGAAAAAATGGAGCTTCCTGAAATATCTGGGTATTTTTTTCATGGAAATCTTTTCTTCCTCTCTGTCACTCAACAGTAACAGCTACACTGTGCATCCCTATGATGCTCGCAAGCAGTAGATGCCCAAGAAAACTCATATTACCATGTCAAAGATTACAAGATCTTACACAGACCAATTTACCACATTGAAGAGGTATTCTGATTTCTTCATTCCTAACAGTGTAGTCCAAACCAATTTCCACTAAACAGCCACAAATTTCAGCATATTTTTAAATGTTACATTATAACTAGCATCATGTTTTCACACTTATTTCCATGAATTTTATCAGGTCTCCCATAAGAAAATGGAAAAGCAATACATGTTAAGTGAGTCACAAATTACCTGAAACCATTTCCTTCCTTAATGCAATTCAGATTTACTAGATACTTCACACAGGTATCAAGTAGGTTTTTGGATACCTGGGACAGTCTGCAAACACACTGCTGAGGCACAGCCTGTAAATGCTCCCAAATACACATCTTGAAAGGCATTTAAAAAAATCCAAACTTGTTTATCTGAAGATTAAGCCTCCTTTTCAATTTTTCGTTTCCTTTGAGATGGACTAACACTTCTGCCCATTAAACGCTGCTCAAATGACACATGAGTTTACGGAACTCACTGCTCCCCAAAACTACATTGTTAAAACATAAGGAGGAAGGAATGGGGACACATCTGTGATCCAATAAGTGTACTGAAAAGGTGGTGTAACTAAGCCCTTTATCTCTCACATATTTATTGGAAAGGACAAGTTTCTGGTTACTTTAAATTCATGATAGAAAAATTGTGTTGTACGACCTAATCACAAAGTTGTATGGTGAACACCACACACTTACTCAACCACATTACATATGAGACTGCTTTAACCTAACATTATTTGAAAATATACATCCTAAAAAAATAATCCACTGTATGCGGCAAATAATTCTACAGGCTTCTTGCTAAAGAACATAGTTTATCAAAATAAAGATGAATGAGATTCCAAAATATTCATCAGGTGATTCTTTTAAGAGCAATAAAATTGTTTATGTGGTATGTCAAAAGTTTTGTCTTTGAGGCACAAAAATAAATGCAGACACCACAACTCGGTCAGAGTGACACAATATATCTAGAGCTTCTTCCAGGCTACTCCAAATTATTCTGAGCAGGCATTTTGGTAATATGTGAAAGCAAACAGCACAGTGAAGTAAATTAAAAGTGAGAGTACTTAAAACTAGCAGACCAACTTTCAACATACAGAAGAACTGAAAATTCTCCCATTAAATCAGTTAGTAAACCCAAAATCAGTAGCATAGGCTAACATACACAAAAAAAATATATGAGTTAACCATTAAAAGAATTTACCATGTAAATTAGATATGGGAAAAATAGTAATGATAAAATGCTACATACTGATGTTGCAGAAAAATGTTTTTTGCAAGAATAAGCCTTAGGTCCAGTTTTGTTTACACTTTCAATTAAAGTATGTATCACATTAATGAAAGTTACCAATTATATTGAGCCAGGAAGGAGGGCACACATAAAGGGAACAAATAAAAATAATTTAGTGCCCTCAGAGGTCAGAAGTTCAAAGCTTGTAAGACCCAGGATAATCATGAAACAGGAATTAAGTCTCTAGCTGCAAAAGATTCACAAAAACATCCTGAAAGTGAAGAAGAAACTCGAAAAGCAGCAATTCTCAAAGTTATTTAAAGCAGTTGTTAGAAATGAAGAAATATGATTTGGGTTTGGGAGACAACAGAAGTTTGGTTTTCCTACACAAAAGCATCATGTTACAGAGGATGAACCCAACCAAAGAACAACCACAGTTAAGAGATGGCCTTCAGACTAAGTCCAACAAATCATGCATGTGGAATGGTAGTATGAACACCAAGATATGGAGAACTGAGCCAAAAAGTTCAAAACAAGAAAATGTTGTGTAAAAAAAGCAGACTGAAAAAAAATAGCATGCAGAAAGGACTGGAAATATGCAGACAGGACCACTGTGTGCATGCAGGTTCCAAATTACAAAGACCATGAGGAATATGCAAAATGGCACAAAACACGGCTCGGAATACTGGCATGAAGTTACAAAAAAGAGCTACTAAACATCATGTAAATCCTCCCATCAGTGAGATGTAATCATTGAAATAATCTTCAAAAGGAAGCCTAATTGTTTAGAACATATATAAAATCTCACTGGCCAAGACAATATTAAAACTCACAAGTCTACAACCCTGCTTTAGCAAGCAGATGGACTAGATAACCTAAATAATTTTTTCAACCCTATCTCCTATGATGATGTTCAGAAGATCTGACAGGCTCATGCACAATACCCTGCAGTCCTACAAGTACGTGAGCAAGTTCAGTAAAAAGACATTGACATCAATTATGAAGACAAGCACAAAAATATATATACTCCATAACCTCTTTGTAAGGCTACATTTGTTTTGTTTTTGTTTTTTTTTAAAGGCACCTCATCCTCTAGCTATTGCCAGCTTTTAAAAAAAAATCACTTTTCAGTTTGAGCAAGAGCTCAATAGTGAGAAGGAAACATCTTTCAATTCACATTTGAACAGCCACGTCTTACATTCCAATTGTAATCAGAATGACAGTCTTTAAAAACAAGCATGCTGGCCTACTAGTTTTTATGTACAGCAATTTAAACAACTGTGACTACATATTGTACTGTGTAAGCAAAAGCACAACATTCATTTCATACTCACACCATTATCCTTTGTATACACAAACTCAAGAGAACTCTTAATACTAAAACATTAAAATGCACCCATGGAATCTTCCCTTACTAGACACATTTAGTACATGTTTACAATATATATACACATATATAATATACATAACTTTTAGAATTTTTCAAATAAATCTTTGTAATTTTCTCTTCAAAAAGAAATAAAATAATGACACTGAAAGAATATGAGTCAAGTACACAGAACTCTCACAAAGTTGAATGCTCAGTTTTGCAGCCAAGTTTCCCCCTTTCCATCACAACCAAATCATTTCATAAAAACTAAATAATCTGTATTATTATCGTAGTCATCTGTTTCATGGTAAAAGTTCTAATCTTATCTACGGAAATATATTGCATATCAATATCATGAAGTGACATTTCTGAATATTCTGAGCAATAAAAGGTATTCCAGGATATTTTAGCAGTACATAGAATGTGTTGCAGGCTCAAACAGCACATAGGTCAACCTTTTACCTAAGAAATATACTTGATTTAAACTCTGAGATCAGCTTTCAAATGTGGTCCCATCCCCTAATGCCACCTAAAAACAACACAGTCAAACCCTATTTTGATATCTTTCAATGACTTCTGTTTACAAAGTGTCAGTTTAAAGGTAAAGATTTATCAGTTTCCAGTCTTAACCTCAGGCTGGTATAGGAAGAGCTGCATTGGGTTCTTTGCTACTCACATCAGCACCAGAAATCATCTCCAGCAGAAATTCTGCTTTCCATTCCCATTAGAGGAAAACACCAACTTCATGCTTATGAACAGTAATAATTCTGATGATGACACATAATAGAAAAGAATCCACTCACCTTCTTTTAAGAAGGGGAAAAAAGACTAAAAGATTGGATTAGAAGTTATTTGTCATTCAAGTCAACAGAGAAGCTCTGAATAGATAAACAAAGCACATCTGTTGAGTAATTACAAGAAGTACTCATTCTTCAGGTAACCTAATCAATGGCACGAATACACCCAGCAAAGTGGACAAGTTAGAAAGTCCCACAAATGGTGAAGCTGGGAAATACCTCTAGAAGTAGCAGAATCTCTCAAACCGATGGAGTTTTGTATAGTTCCCACCTATTCCACTAGCAGGACTCATACAAAGCATTAGGTATAAGTTTAATCTTCAAAAAAAGTATTTCATGTTATCTTTTAATGCCCAGAATGATACCCTTTTTAGCAGAAACAGGAAGAGGAGATGAATGTTTGACAACTAAATTGTACGACAGCTTCTTTGGAAAGCTTTAGGATAATTTCTTGTGCCAGATCTCCAAGAATAAACAGCGTTAAAATCTGAATAAGTTAAGATTGCTACTACAGTATATACAGACTGCTTCAGTCTGTTGTTAATTGGGAGTTAGAGTAAAGGCTCAGCTTCTAGCCATATGCTAATACAGTCTTCAAAAACTATATAAATTTTTTTGCAAACTAAATATTTACTGTATAACATAGAAGATGTAACAGAAACTTTGCTGCATTTTATTTTGTGTTAGTAATCTGCTTTCCTTTAATTGCATTTACCTTAGGCTAGCAACCAGATTAGGCTAAGATTAACTATCCGCTACTGCTCTCTGAACAAGATCTACTTTATTCATACCAAAGGGATGACAAAGTGCCTCTCACGTGATACAGTAATGAGCATGTGAACTGACTTTGAATCACTTCTTCCAGGTGATTTAACATTAAGATTCCTCAATGAGAAGCATCCTAGGAAGTTTCCCTCTTTTCCTGCTCCCTGATGCAATTAGACCCCTTCTTTCCAGTACTCCATTTTATTAGTAGAGAATATGTAGACCTAGTTTCACCCAAGGCCTGCCTGGACGAAAATTCACACCCTCTAAAATAAAAGCATTTATTTTTTTTTTTTTTTAACTATGTGAAACTGAGAGATTCCAAGCTCTCAGCACCAGCTGAGCTCACAGAAATCAGAGCAAATGTCAATTTAGAAAACAGCACCCTGCAAAACTAAACACTTACAAACATTCTCTGAATTACAGGGCAAGATAAAACAACTCATGCCCTCCTCTTCTCTTTGTGCAGCTGGTTAAATATATACAAAGCTAAAGTTGAACAGGAAGCACTCTGTCATACAAACACTTTAGCCAGGGCATCAGCTCCTGCACTGGCAATATAACATTTGGAGGGGTGGAATGCCACATCATGAATGGACTCATCAAATTTTTTGCGATGAGCAGTAAATTCTTGGATGCACGTCTTGCTTTCAAGATTCCACAGGCGAATAGAGCAGTCATGACCTGAAGAAAGGGGAAACAGTTTTCTTTACAATTCTCATGTCTGCCACCATTATGAGAAAAAGAAAATGAAATCTGAATGTACTTACTGCCAGACATCAAATACAAGCCATTAGGATCAACAGCTAAACTTGTAACTGCATCTAAGTGAGCTACCATGGAGTGGATCAGTTTTCCTTTGAAAGAAAAGAGTTATTTAGGTTATTTTCTGCAATCAACTTTTTTATTTGTATTCAAATACAAATGACCCTACCACAGCTGATACTATAAATAAAAAACCCATGAATGAATCATTAAAATCATACAAGAAGTCATTCTTTTAAATTTACAGTCTCCAGAGAGGCACGGTAGCAGTATCATCAACATTGTGAGACCTTAATGTCTGCAAAGCCACCTTGGTGCTGCAATCACTGCATTTTAAATATCTGCCCCTTAACTGAATTGAGTTCTGAAGTAAGATCTTCAATGGGAAGGAAAGTAGGGGCTGAGTATACTAAAAGCAAAGAGTATAAACTATGATTTTTAGTCAACTCATAGAGAATTAATGTTCTATTACAGTTTATTGCAATTACAGCAGTGATTTCATGTTAAAAATAAGAAATCATGGGTCAAGTGAGGCGGAGGTCTAGTAAGCCCTAGAGTGCCAGAGCTTCCTGTTCTCCAGATCAAAGTAACACAGAAGAAACCAGCCATATATATATAATATAAAATAACCAACAGAAGAAACATGAACATAAGCCCATAAAGATTTAAAAAAAGCATCCTTTTATGTTAAATATTTATAAACCTCATACATAAGGCATTTTAAAAGAATGGACAGAAAATTATCCAGGTTCCTTATCACTGTGCCAACAAAGTTTTAAGTGTGCTGGCAATCTTTGGGATCTACTAGTGATGAGAGACTTCTGTTCCAGAGGCTATTCAATTCTTGACATTCCTCAGCATTTATATGAATAATACTAATCATAATGAAATTCTGGTTATGATTTACGTTATACAATGGCTATGGCTAAGACCTGTTGAAGAGAAGCATACCTGTATTGTTGTCATAGAATTTGATGTGTCTGTCTTCATGAGCAGTGATACTAATTGGAAGAGTTGGATGGCTGATGACTCTGTTTATCTGACAGGAGGAACTGATTGCTAGGAAAAAACCAACACATATCATAAATGTCGAATTCTTTGAAAGATTGCTACTACAAAATAAACATGTAATCCATTTTATTTGCAAAATAATTCTTACATTTATATACTGGAAACTCTCAACTAGAATCTTATTTTATGTGCTTTACTCTAAAATACTTTCCAAATTACACAGGTATAGAGGCATACATAAACCATATGTATGCCAAATAAGGTCCAACTTTTGGACATAGTTTTAGGTAGACATATCAGGCAAAAATGTGAAACCAAAAACTGAGTGAAAACACCTTTTTTGCACTTCCCCACTGCCACATTCCTCCTCTTGCCAAGTCAAACTTTCTTCATGACATACAGACAGTACAGGTAATTTATTTAAAGCAAATAAATCCCACCTATTATTATTTGATATATATTGATTAAAATTATGATTATTGGGAAAAAAAGGATGCTACACTATTCATAGGAGAGCCATTTTCTGTTCTTCAATAATTTTGAAACAGCATGCATATATATATATGCAAACAAAAAAAAAGTATAGAAGTTTTCTGATTAGAAATCTAGGCATTGTTGTGATGCATGGATTAGTGCAAGGGTGGTCTTAAGAGATATAAATTATGACAAAACCAAAACTAGTCACTCCACAGTACATCAAAATACAGATATTGTCTTTCATGTTGACTGTATTTGGTTAAACTGCTACCAAAGAACACATTATTTAATCAAAATTCTTACTAAAATAAACAAAATAGAATACTACTATAGGTTCACTTGCTATTAAAATGGTAAAAACTTCAATTTACATATTTCTATAAAAATCTGAATCATCAAGCCTTGTCAGCATCCACAGAACATTTAGAAATTATTAAAGTCTAAATTAAGCAAGAAAGCCACATTCATATTAATAAACACTCCTAAAATAACTGAAAACACATGAACCTTCATCGCAACCAGCTATCCTCACAGTTTGAAAGTGACAAGCAAAGTGAGACTTATACTGAACAGTGGAATCCCTAAGTAGTGATGGTAGGGCATTTCAGGTGACTGATTTTCCTCTTGCCTAGTTCTTGTAGAAATAGTCATTTACTTCTTTAAAATACTTGTAAGCTTTATAGTACTATTACATAACCAAAGATACTAAATGGGGACTGCTGGCTGCCATACCACAGTCTTGTTTTCTTAAAGGAACATCAGTGAATTACAGCAAGGAGGAGGTAAAAAACAATAGAAGGGAAAGGAGAGGGAAGCAGAAAGGCAACTTCCACTGTCTAAAGTTAACTAATTTAGGACTGTTTTTTTCAGACAGGAACAAAGGTGTGAGAAATCCTGCACAGTAAGGAATAACATAAAGAAGGGAGATGGCATTTTCCATTCCCTCTTATAAAATGACAGGCATCTAACTAGTTTAAAATAGACAAGCAAAGCCAACAAGAAGGGCTTAGTCCTTTTAAAAAATCTAATTAAGCAGTAGAATTCAGTGACATAAAACTTTAGGGAGTGTGTGGGTAATATAAAAATTAAAAAAAAAAAAAATTATATTGTTATCAAGTTACCATTGTGGTTTGAATATTAAATCTTTGGCCTCTTTTCTAATGCCATGGTAAAATAATTTACTGATAGCAGGCTCCTCACAGTATCCTCTAAAACTTCTCATACTGGTCACTGCCGTGATCTGAGGCATTATGCAGGACCTTGCAATGAACACTCTTCCACTGGAGCTTTGCTTTTCTTCTGTAGTGAAAACTTCAACTACAGTCCAAGTTCAAATGAGGCAAGAGTGTAAGAAATCTTTGAAAAGGGATATCTCTGAGGAAAAATAAAAAAGAATCCACACACTCTCCTGAAATTTTAATAAACTCAACTTTAAATTTTCCCGATATTACTTTTATTTTGCAATTTTGTACTGAAGAGGAAAAAGAAATCTAGAAGCTGCAAACACCACTGAGTTGTACTAGAGTAACCTGTGCTCTTTCTTGTGCTACTGTCTCTTGAAAAGCAATTCACTGTGATCTTGTTTCTTCTACCTTATTTCAAAAGTACATGCAATTTTCTGCTATTGAAATACCCACAAAGTCTGTTGTAGCAGTAACAATTTAATATTACATCTCAAAACACAGCTTGTAACATAATTCATGTTATTATTTATGATAAAATATGATTTCATGTTTGGAAACACTGAAAATATTATCAACAGTATCAATCTTAAAGGAGCAATTTTTTTTCCCTTTGGTCAATTTGGGTTTTTTTTGATACATACTTGTATCCACACTGGACTCCAGGGTAAGAATTCGTTGCCGTGTCTCCATGTTAAAAATGCTAGTGTGTCCACTGTTAAATGATGCTACCATGAGGCTTGGGTCACTGCTCACAAGATCTACCGAGGAAGGGATTCCCATTTCTAGAAAACAATGTAGTGATTTAGTTGGTATAAAGTAAACAAAAAAAACCCAACAAAAAACCCCAACCAAACAAAAAAACCCCAACCAAACAAAAAAACCCCAACCAAACAAAAAAACCCAAACAACAAAAAAAATCAGTAATCACTGTAACATTTAAAGGACTATCATGAAAGGAAATGTTGCATTTTAAAACATACATTATGCCAATGTAAATAGACTGCCCTGTATGATCACTATTTTAATCCTATTTTTTTTTGGACATGTGTATCAACAAAATTCTTTACCAAGATCCTGTATCTGGAACTGCAGCTGGGCAGAAATCTATTTGGAAATTAAGAAAGTAAGAACTCCCTAGCCCCTTTTCCCTCCTTTAAGTGTAACAGCAATTCTCAAAAACCACAAAATAACTCCATTTCCTCAAGCAAAATGACATGAAATTGAAACGGTAAAACCAGTGACATAACAGATGATTAACATTATTATTATTATTATCATCATCATTATCACCATCATCATCTTGGGTAAAATCAGAGCTTAAAAAATCCACCAAAGTTCTCAAGGTGCAAATTTTATACCCTGACACTGTCATCATAAAAAGTTATATAAATACATTATAAACTCATATTTCAAAGCTTTGTCCATCCTGCCTATTGTGACATATATCTGACCTCCTTACACTGTAGCTATCTGAACACTACAGGACAGAAGGTCAAATCAGCAAAGCTTGGGTATTGGATACATCCCTTGGGATTTTTCTCCTCAAATGTCCTGTTCACCACCTGAAAGAACAACACTGGTAGCGACAGATGCCAGGAGGAGGAGGAAAAGATAGAGTGAGACACTGAATTTTAAGCAATCTAATGTTATAGATTCAGATAACACAGAAATATCATCAGTCTCTCTGAACTCTCTAAGGATTCATAGGAGAAACACCTTTTTTGGACCTCCGGAATATTTCTTATGAATGGTGGTACTTATCTAGAGGTACTCCAAAAAGAGCAAAAAAAGGATTGGAGGAGAAGAAAACACATTGTTTCTGAAGTGACCTTTTCTACCACTGCCATATATGCTGATCTGCAGCTTCCTGGGAGACCTAAAATGGTTAATCTAAAGGACTTAAATGATGAGTGCCAGATGTTTTAGAGAGTTTGTTCAAGGTTATCAATAAGTCATATGAAAACTGGGTTTCAAAGGAGGATCTCTGAATTTCACAATTTTGGCAAGACTAGTCCTCCCTCCCCCTGAATTTAATAATTAAAAACAAACCAACTCACAAAAATACCCAACAGCTACCAGGAAGTTTTCAAAGTAGGCAGATAGGCAAGCTGGCAATAAGCCAGTTAAGTTTCTCATAGAATCCTGCAGACCTTTGGAAACATATTTTTGCAGAAACTAAAATATACGAAACCTTTCTATTTTGCTCAGGATAGCATAACAAGTAATGGTATATCTGACCAGCTTTACACCGTAACTTGAGAAGTCCGTTGAGTTATGCTAAAGTTTATTTTGCCTCAAAGTCTTTATGAAGAGCCAAGGAACTCTCTCAGCTCATGGGCTGTCTTTAGGACCATCAGCTCTAAGAGAACTTGGCAATATCAGCGAGCTCATTCTGGAGCACTTAGACAGCAACTTCAGGGTATTAGACTCTAAACAGTGGGATTTTGATTTGTGCAAGACATTTCTGTAACTAAATCCAAAGATGTACATTATTTCAACTAGCAGTGTTTAGGATCAATAGGTTATCTATTTAGTTAATGTGCAAACTCAGAAATTCAACTTGAATCTCTGTGTTAGAGGCACAAGAAACAAATCTGGAAGGTAAAATAACACTGGTCTGAGATAAAGCACTGGCTACTCCAAACTTCCATTAGGGGAAGAAAGGGCTTTTTTTTTCTGGAAAAACCAAAAGCACATGCCTAATGGAAATTCAGTTTGAATCTGAATTATGGAGTTGATATATTATATTCCATGGCGTTGGTAACATCAGCAGATCATTTAAAGCAGTTGCTTTTAGATGTGTCTGTCCCCATGCATGTAGGTATATATTCAGCTAGTATCAAAAAAGAACGGTCCCAAAATTTACTCTTCCCAAATTGTTCATAAGGATATAAAATCCAGCAAAAAAAGCAAGTAGTATTTCTATTCAGTAACCAAACTTATGTCAGTCTGAACAGGGATGTTCATGAACTTTTAGGGCAATTTTCTGTACCTTGATTATCATTAAATATATTGAGAGCTGGAGCAATTTCTGTAGCTTTCCATAAACGTATGGTGCCGTCTGCTGAACAAGACAGCAATCGCTGGTGGGCTCCACTGTAAACCAGACCCCACACTGCATCAGTATGGCCTACAAAAGCACCTCTTAGAACAGAAGGATCTGTGAACAAAACACAACAAAACACATTTCAAAACAAAATTTGAATTACATCAATAGCTGTATCTTGATCTGTGTCTATGCACCAACCTTAGGGAGACAAAATCCATAAAAAACCAAGGTCAATCATGTCACACCAATATAGAAGCCTCAATTATTCTGGTATTAAGATGCTTGAATTTCATCAGCATACATGATATTCAGTTACCCAGTTTGCAACTAAAGGAACAAAACATTTCAGCAGAAGGGACAGTATAGAAATTGGAAAAACACACTTCAGTGTGTTTCACTTTCAAGCAGCCATTAATGGTACATCAGTCCCTTTTATGCAAAAGTCAGCTTTGAGGCCAACTGCATCCAAAGCTAAAGAAGTGAAAAATAAACTTAAAATCCAGAAAAAAGGCTGACATCCATTCAGATCTGGTAAATCTTACTGAACTGTGCCTTTTTAGACGTTTGCAGACAACATTAACAGCTTTGGTCTCAGACTATTAAATCTCTTTATCTAACTGCACAGAAATTTGTCAAAGAAAAGAACACTAAAATACACATTTGCTATACTTTTGAATCTAGCTGTTTCACAGAATTGTGAAGGAATTAAGACCTTTTTAAAGAAAAATTAAGCCATTCACAATTTAAGACGTTTTAAAACATTTTATCTTCTCATCAACCAGCATCAGCATTAAAGCAAAAATTTAAGTAATTAAAGCTAACATTCAATTTGCTCTTTTAAACTTTCAAATAAGTATTATCTACAAAGTACCCTATTTTAACAACATAACATTAATGTCACTGAACGCATCATTTCACTGGTACGTGTGACAGCAACGTACCATAAGAGTCATAGGGGTCAATGTTCGGGTTGGTTGTGTTCCAGCCATGGATAAGGCCATCTGTTCCCCCACTGTAACACTGTTCACCATTAGTGCTCATCACCACACAGAGCACTGGTCCACTGGAAGAAACACCCAAAGAAACATTTACTATTAACATTTTCATTATGTGCAATGCAATGCAACAGAACCTTCAAATTTCCCTGCTAGATAAAATTCACTTGCTGCACGGATTGCAACAAAAATTCCACATAATGAAATCATAGACTACAACATTTCCTACAAAAAGACCACCACAGTATTTGGTAACATAACTACAATCAGGACAATATAATCATCAGGTACACAAAATGTGAAAAGTGTCACACTTTCAAACAGTAGAGTTTTTTATTTTGCATAAGCAGCTTCTTTTCCCTTTGTAAAAGATCTAAGGTTCTTTCATGAAACAATTTCAGTAGATTTAAATTCACTGCATTCATTCTTCTTCAGCTTCCTTCTAAAAATGCACACATCTAACAAAAAAGACAAGAGGTGCAATAATGAACCAAACACCAAATCAAACTGGAACTGTATAATTTGTAGGTTTTCATTTTAATACTGTGGTGTACTCAGCTTCAGACATAAATAATTATGCAGAAAGGAGATGGACACATGCAGATATTTTAAATAAAATGGGAACTAAAGACATCAAATGGAATCAGTAGCTGCTAAGGTGGAAATTACCTTTTAAACAATTCTGTTTTTGTTTAAAAATCATATCTTTCTCAAAATATGACAATATTTCCCAGGAAATACTTACCTATGTGCTCTGAAGGTGTATATTGGCTCTACATCAAGAGAAGCACTCCTAAATGAAGTACAAGGAAATGTTAACATGTATTTGATCTTACACAATGCTTTACAAACATGTGCCAGAATTGCTAAATTCTTAAAATCACTGTTACACCTTTTGCAGTGCTTCTCCCACAACTTCCTCTCCCAACACAATTTTTCACATGTCTAGGAACTATTTGTAGTCTTTCAGTTTAAAGACCTTCAAGGTAGTTCATAAACTCTCACAGATCAATCAAGCCAGTAGGTAGCTACACCAGTGGTGGGGAAGGAGTGGAGAGATATCAGTATCACATGGAATGTATCATTAAGTGCTCCAAACCCCTATTAGAGCAATGCTTTTGACTCCTTGTTTTTATACCAATGCTGTAGCACAGTTACAAACCACTTCAAAATTTGCTGCACTGGACTTTATCGATCCAGTGCTTGTTACAGACTGAGGGAAGACCAGTCCTCCTCAAAGGTCTGATGTACTCCCTTACCATTATCATTATTAGCCCTGCTACCAAATTGCTCTCATTTCTGCAAATCCCTAGCAACTCACAAGAGACAGTGTACAAACTGTCAAACATGTCAAAGTTTAAAGCTGTACACGTGTATATGCATGTATGTGTGTACATACATATGCATATATATAAAAATGCATCTTCTACATTTATATCCACATGCAAGCACACTAACAGGCCGCATCCAAATATTTTCACTAGCGAATTAATTTGTCATGTTATCTACAAGGAAAATATAAAAATGTGAATGGTTTTCCTTTTCACAAACAAAACACATTCAGGAACACATGGATTTGTTCTGGTACTCTTCAGAAGCCTCAATGCTACTCCATGAGCTTGTTTTCCTACTCCTAAAAGTCAAGGAACACTTTCCATGAACTCCAAAGGCCATCCCATGAAGTGGTATCTACAGTTATTCTTTTTCTTCATAAATTAAAATTGTTCTTCAAGTAAAGCAAAAAAAAATCTTACTTTTTTGCTGGGGCTGTTTTTTGTAAATTCCACATTTTTAATGTATGGTCCTCTGAAGCTGTTATTAAGACTGGTTCAACCGGATGAAAAGCGAGACCTCTTATTCCATCAAAGTGACTTCTTAATGTAAATTTGGGGTTCCAAGTCTTTCTCAATGCATCCTTATTGTTGGCTATCTAATAAAAAAAAAATGCCAAACTTGTAATTAATATGGAAGTCACAATGAAAGTAAGACATTAAAAATGTAGTTTGGCATTTTCAGAAGATGTGAAATTACCTCTTCCACTTCTCAAAACAACCTGCTCTTGAAAAACAGTCCACTTAAAACTAACCAGATAATTCAAAATGAGAATAAAGGTAGATGTATTCCATACAACAAGCAATGTCGTGTCCACAGTAATACGTTCTATGCAAATCTGAAATGCTCCCATGTCTGTAAAATTACACAATTTAAAAGCACTGACACTTAAATGAAATCAGCTAGGTATTTGAAATTTGATCTATACCTACTAGCTCATTCCCTCTAACACTGGGCTTGACTCAACCAATGGGTGGTCCCTGAATATCCTAAGTACCACTGACATAGCACCTCTGAAGTAAAGATCTGAGAGAAACAGAGAAGATTCTAGAAGCACAGAAAGGAACACAGCCTAACTTACTCATCTAAGGCAACTAAAGCTCTGTAATAATGCAAGACAAGTAAAGGTTGCCAGAAAAGGAAAAAAAATTGGCAAAAAAGACTTGGCTACACAGTAAGTATATAACTGGCAGGTGATAAGCTATCATGTATACAGACACAATTATTTGGCAATAAATGCATTTTAGAAGATCCAAAAAGAAAGCCTTAAAAAAAATAACATTTACTCCAATATTGCTCCTCTGAACAAATGTTGACACAAAATGCTGAACAGACTTTTTCACTCTGTCAGTCAACAATGCCATAAGTTAAATTTACCTTTCCATAACTATGGCGGTTATAGAAAACCAAGAAAACAAACAATTGTACTGATATTTTATTATGTTGAAATCTACAGATAATCCCAAATAATTTATATTATTAACTGCAAAGAAGAGACAACTGTTTTGAGCCTCTCCAAGAATCTACATTTTATTCTAGGGAGTGGGGGGAGGAAGAGGAGATTTAAGAACAGAAGCGCTTTTTCTTAGGTTTTGTTATGTCTGGATTTACTAATAAAAATATGCATCAATTAAGAAGTTCTATACATTTTAAACAAGGAGAAAGGAGCTGTTTTAGTCTTTCTTTTAGTCTTTCTTAGTAATTACATACTGCCTTGCTCAGGGAGACAAGTCAGTTCTTTTGCCAGTTTACTGAGCCAAGTTGGCTCAATGAGGGAACAGACAAATGCTCGAGCTGGTACAAGGATGGGGCAGGACTGCACAGTTAGCAGCTCTGGCAGGTTTTCTGGAGATTGGCCAAGAGAGTCTCAGCAAAAAGGGTACAAGATGTACAGAGTATTCATAGATATCTGGAGAAGAATTTAGTTGCCTCAACACAGGCACTCAATGCCAAACGGGTGACGGAGGGAACCCGCCTGCCCTCCAGCTGCCATACCAGCAGCACAGGTCCTGCATCACATTTGCAAAAGCCACAAAGACACCTCAGATGGCCTAACAGTGAATTCCAGTTCTGGCAGGGTAATAGTCTTCATTTGCTTCTCATTTATTCAAAGGTGCCCTTCCAAAGGAGTCCAAGATGATTAGCGTATAAATTGGGAAGTAGACGGAGGGACCTAGATGGAGAGCAGTCCCAGCCAGCAGACCAGCAGCAGAGGAAACAGATCCTAGTCCTGATGCACCACCTACCTCGCTGCACCACGTCACTCCGCCCACCAGTCTCTCTCAAGCTGTGAGAGGCTGGGTTACTAAACACAACAGCCAACCTCCTTCTATCTCTCCCCACTGAAGTGAAACTGTGTGGTAATTTGAGACTTGACAAGCAGTTTGGGGGGATGTTCAACCCCAAAATTAGCACCTGATCTGTATTTGCAACTAATAATAATATTTGCATCTACACAGACGAATCAAAACCTCCAGAAACAGCAATGACATGCAAGTAGGATTCCAGACACTTTTCTCATTCAAAGTTGTAGGGAAACCAAGCAAGAGACTACTGCTAAGTCCAAAACCTCTACTATAATCTTATGAAGTCACTTAATCTATCCAGAAGACTAGAGATAAAAACAGAACCAACCAAAGTGAAAGGAAAGTGCTAAGACAACAGTGTGTAAAGGAAGGAAAAAGAAAAGATAAACCTGTGAGTATAGGCTAGCAATATGGAAAATTTCACCTTGTTAGATATTCTAAAAACTTACTCATAAAAGAAAAAGTTTCTCTTTCAAGTAATAAATTCATAATATTCATTACCAAGTGAAAACCATTCTTTAATTTACAGACAGTCAAAGCAATATGTAGAAACTGAAACCATGAAATGAAGTAGGCTAATGCTGCCATGTTTTAGAAAAAAAGAATCTAGTAAAAAATGTCAGTGGGATGAAAAGGACTGAAAATGGGAAAGTGCCTGCAGCTCTTGAGAGCAAATATATTTAAAGACAAAGGTACATTGTTTTTCAACTTTATTGTCCATATGATTCAAAATTGACACTTAAAAATAATACACTAAATTTTCACTAATCCTTCCTGATTCACACTTGGCAGCTGGAAGAAGGTACGAAATAGGCTAAAATAGAAACATTATCTGTAAGCTAAAGTTCCAGTGAAACTTGCAATAGAAAAACCTGGCTTTCATTTTGCTTCACTGAAGTGCACAGTGACAATAGTGAGTAGCTTTGTAAATGTTGTTAGTTTTTTTTTAATCAGCACTAAAAAAAGGTAAGAGTTGAGGCAAGCATGACAATGAATTCCTGATCACAGGACTTCATAAAGGCATTTAACAAATGAACAAACAGAAGTCAGTACTCTCAACCATGCGGGATAGGATAGGAATGGATAAAGAAATGCTGAATTCCAGAAATGAAAGCTGTTAATTCAGGATATGGAGACATGAACAAACAAAACAGTTTATATGGACACTTGAAGAGTGAAGTCAAGCAATGAAAGCATTACCATCTCATTCAGATGGTTTAGGTTTGTCATGTCCTCTGAATTTAAAAATTCAGCATCAAAGTTTTAGGTGTACCTGTAAAAGCAATTAATTTGTACACCGTCTTAAGCCTTTCTGAAGGTATAATTAGAGAAGATTAGCAAAAAAATTAAGAACTGAGCCCAAATTAGGAGATAATGTTAAAATACTGAATTTCAGCAGAAATGTTCTGTATCTTTGCAATCGAGACGATTCACAACACATCACATGCTCAGAAACTTGCTGTAGTAGTAGAGCACATCTCTGCAGTAGCACTTTCCAAAAGTGTCTAAAATTTTATTAACTATGTAATTTATTCTTTACAAGTACAAACAAGGGTAGAACTTCAAAGTAAGGACCTGCAGGTTATTTCCGAAGTCTCAGACTTGACCTGTGATAGTGAAATCCCAGATGGTGATTACTTAAGGGTCAGATTTACTGAAAGGTAGGATTCTTCACCGACACACAGTACTGAAAATGATCTCTGAAATCCCTCAACCTTGATAGAGCTGGGCAATGCTCTGAAGCTGACAAATCACAAGGAGCATATTATGAAAGTAATATCTGAAGCACCTTTTCCCAAGAAATCAGAAATACAGACAAAAATTATGTATGAGTGAAAAGAAGCAATTTTAAGAAAAGTTTTTCATAATAAGTGAAAGAAAAACAAGCTGTAGGGTACACATACAAAAGCGCTGGCCACAAAACCCTCCTAAACAGTCTCTGGTTCAGTTTCCCATTTGAAATGAGACCACAAGCCTCCCCCAGCCAAGTCTTGAACATCTCCCAGGAAAGGGATTCCACTGTTTCTCTGGGCCAGTTGTTTCACTATCACCTCCTACAAAACACTTCCTCCCCCAGTGTCTTACCTGAACTTCCTAAGCCATAATTTGTTATTGTTTCCTCTTGTTTTAATGCCTGGCACTATGGAGAAGTTGGCTCTGTGATCCTTATAAGCACCCTTCCAATACCTGCAGACTGCTATTTGAGCACTTCTCAGCCTCCTAAGAGCTGGACTCTACAATTTCTCTAAAAACCTCTTGAAGTAGAGGGGCCCAAAACTCCATGCAGACCAGGCAGAAGGGGCACAAACCTCCTTCAAACTACTGGTCGTACAACTTCCAATTTTTGCTCAGAGTCACTGGGGTTACACATACCCACACATATCACTATAACTAATTACATTTACTTTCAACTACTCTCATGACATGGCAGGCAAATGAGCAGGAGAAGGGCTCGCAGAGAGTTTGAAGGCTGCTGTGTATGGGAAAAACAGATTTATCAAGTAAAAATTTGTGACAACCTCTGGCAGCATAATTTTATCTGGAGAATGTTTTCTGCTGAGTCTACACACATGTCACTTGTATCTGCCTTCAACAAAAAGACAGTAAGACCTTGAGTTACCAATAATAACCACTTACATCATAAGTCAGCGAATCTGCCTCATTTGCTACAGTAAGGCCTGCCAGTTCTCCAAGACCCAGTTCATTTTCAAGAGCTTCATCTGCTCCCATAATGAAAGATTTCCCTGAAGAAGGCGGGAATGTTAAAGCTTCCACTGCAAGAAAAGAAAAAAAAACAAAACAAAAAAAATCTTGAAACTTATACAACACTGAATGACAGAAGTATATTTTTCACTTTTAAAATGCTAAACATCTCTCAAGTAGCTGAGGGGAAAACAGATATACAGAGATGCATAAAAAAATCTCTTTTCTAAAGATAATCACTGTACTTACCAATAAACAGCATCCTGTGAACATACTTGCACTTGAGGTGTGCATGACTCCAGACAGTAAGTGCAATTAGCCACAGGCAGGAAGAGGACACTACCATTCACTCATAGATAATGCACAAGTAACACAGAACAGCTCAGACCCTTCCCCAACTCTGCTACAAAATATGCAAATAGGTGCTGAAGAAGCAACAAAAACACATATAAGAATAGCTCGTGGGAGCAGTTGCACCCTTCCTTCCTAACACGGTATCCACACACATCCAAAAGCACGTCCACAATGAAGCTGTTCACATACACTCCAATTGAGCGATACGACAAGAACCTGACAATTCATCACTAGTTGTAAAATCAGTTTAATTACCAAACAGGCTACTCAGCACTGAATTCCATGTTTGTACTAGCAGTATCCAAACTTACTAGTTAACAACTTCTATAGCATGCCTATAGGAGCTCTCATCACTGTAACATGAACACATCCACAGGCAGATTCTCTAGAAACAGAAGGATCAAAGGCTAAGGAGTACAGCACACACACTTAGACCACATAAAGCTCTGCATCAAGTGGTACAACTCAAAAGCTTGCCTTTACCAAGTTCCCTGTACAATAGCTCTCCAAGCCTATACAGCACAAAAGGGGGACTGAATAGATGAAAATGTGTTATCTTCTGGGTACAAAAAACTTCACTGATCTTTATACACCTTTGTCTCAAATTACAAGGGTTTTTCAATAAATTACAATCTTTTTCCCTTTTAGCTCCATTGTAAATATAAGCCTTGGCAAATACTGTTGGACCAGGGTGAGAGAGAAGGAAATGCCACCTCATTCTCAGCATCTTTTTAAGTCTAATGGTACCAATACTAAGTTAAAACCAAAAAACCTGCAGTTTACAATCAATAGCCTGATCTGTTCAGTCTGCTTCCCTCTTATACCAAAGGCATCAGGTTCAGATGCCATCCAATTCACTTTCAGTTCACCCAGCATAAAGTAAGCTAATCTTCCCATTCCACATTCACATTTCTATTGCGTGTTCTGTTTGCTTTCCACTTTTTACAACTGAATAAAAGCCCTTCAAGCTCTAACATTCACGTCTCTTAGTTATTACCTTTTAATCACAAACATCTCTTACCTTCTTCACCCTGAAGTCTACACTACCATTCACTTTTTCGGTTTTGAATTTATGATGAAATATTCCACTCAATACACAATACGTACAGGACATCAAACCTGAAGAGTTACTAGAATGAAAAAAATTGTATGCCAAAAATATCATGGTGTCTCAGCTTTACAAAGGAATACACAGCTCATAGTTTGCAATACTGAACTCAGACTGATAACAATCAGCTGTCCTCCTCTTTTTTTGTGAGAGTGCATCTGAGTGTCTGAATTAAAAAACATGTTATTGAAAGGACATGAAAATAGTGCTCTGCTAAGATAGCTCTTAGTATATGTGAGAAAAGTTGGAAAGGAAACATTCAACAAAAAATTCCTCCACTTCCCCAAGCGTTGCTAAGTTACCCCTTCTTTCATAAAGAAAATCACTGAGCATGAAGGAAACAGAACTACTGAGATCTTTGGTAACTATGCCACATGCCGGGACTTTTTATGCATCTTAATTATAACTTGGCCAACCTACTATTTCACACTCACTGAAAGACTGCTAAGTGGAACTCATGTTTTGCTCATTTTTCAAAACATGTATTTACCATTTAAATAGGGCACATGATATCACAGAATCATAGAATGTTTTGGGTTGGAAGGCACCTTAAAGACCATCCAGTTCCAAACCCCTGCCATGTGCAGGGACATCTTCCACTAGACCACATTTCTCAAAGCCCCATCCAGCCTGGAACTGAACACTTAACGAGATGAGGCATCCATAACTTCTCTTGGCAATCTATTCCAGTGTCTCACCACCCTCACTGTAAAGAATTTCTTCTTAATACCTAATCTAAACTTGCTCTCTTTCAGTCTGAAGCCACTACATGCCCTTATAAAAAGTCCCTCTCCAGCTCTCTTGTAGGCTCCCTTTAGGCACTGGAAGGCTGCAATATGATCTTCGACAAATTAATATAGCCTCACACACTATATGTTATTATGCTTCATATTACAGCATTCAAACATCGAATCAAATAGATGGTTCAGCATTTTTCAGACATAATCCTAGTGAAGGTAACCACATGCTTCACTGTAAAGATGTGTGGCCTTCCATACTCAGAATTTTTTTTAATGTTTGGAACACATTATGGAAATAAATACAGAGGCAAGCTGTGAATCATACAGAACTAATCACCACAAGCATTTAAAAGCTATAGCTAGCCACCTGTGTTTACCTGCAGAGCCTCTATCTTTCACTTAAAAAAAAAAGCACATTAGTATGTATGTGTGTATATATACATACATAGATTTAAAATTAGGTGCATGGGGAGAAAAAAAGATGCTCTTATGTCCTCAGAGTTTATGTTCCCCACTTGGCTACCAGGTTTGAGCACAAACAAAAGCAAGTGATTTAGGATCGTCATATTACAAAGCCACCAAGTGCCGAGTTATTTTTTCTATCATGTTCAAAGTTATTCAACCAAGACTTGCCCGGAGTAGGTGTCTTGACCTTACTAATAGGGACCAGAAAGAAGAAATGAGAATGCCATTTATGGCACTTAGACAGAACTTGAAATGCTGAATTGGAATTTGTAAAGTGCTCGGAAAGTCTTAGAGGATAATCTTTAAGAAGGAACTCTCAACATCCATCCTTTGCTAAGGTGTTATGCACATCTTTAATATTTACCTTCATCCGTCCTGTTTATCTCATGTTCAATGAGCCTTGAGCTACTGGGCCTAGAAGAAGGTGCAACAGATGGCTGTAACGAAGGGAGATCATCAACATCTCTCAAGTTTGCAAGCATATCTTGCAGCTTTGACCTGTTGGGCCCTAACCAGAAAAAAAACCAAAAAATTAAATGGTTTATGCATAGTTCACAAGGACACTACTTAGATATGCTACAGCAGCACATGCAACAATGGATCCTACCTTGCATTATGACATTACCACAGAGAAACTAATGAGCACCTATTTTCAGCAGTAACTAATCATCCAGCATGAAATGAATTTCTTGAAAAGAAAGCGATAGAAGCAACTGAGAATTGAGAACGCAAAATTTTCCCCATATGTATAAACTCATACTACTACTTGTATGGGATGCTGAAGAATGCCTCCAACTGAGTCATACTGATTAATAGAATATTTACTTTTCTAACACAATAGCTGACATCTGTGAATATTTTAGAATTGGTGAATCAGGTACTTTGCGCAGCATATTCTTATGATAACGTTATTATTTTAAATTTATTTGTGCAGTAGTGTAGTATTGTGAACTACATAATCAAAAAAGTTATACTTAAATTAAAACATAAATGCAACTGGATTCACTGGCCTACTTCCTGAAGCTACATATGGTGAAGACCCATGCCCTTCTCGACACTTACCTGTGCTTTGCTCCATCATTTTCCCACATCCCTGTTTTGACTGTTTTATATAGGATTGAGGCTGAAACATATCTTCGGTAGTTTTTCCTGTTGTAAGTTTAATTAAGAATGGGAAAATGTCTTACCCATAGTCCATTATGTTTTTTCCTAGACCAGTAAATAATACAGCTATTTTTAAGCAGCTTTAATACAGTAGTGTACTCTAAAATATGTATTTTCTCATAAAGCCATTTTATGATTCTGTTCTCTTACTACTTCACAGGAATGTTTACTACAGCCTTGCAAAATCGTAAGTTTACTAATGCAGTTGCAAACTCTACTTTGTCCACCCTAACCATAATGACTGATAATAAACTAAATTGTATTTAACTTCTCTGTCACCAAAATATTACTCAATCGAGGAAAACACTAAGAAGGATTTTGCAAGATTGTTTTCTATAATATCTGGTTTATAAAAACCAATATTTTACTTAGTAGCAGTTCAGTGTCTAAGCACCATGTATAATGGGATTAAAGTCATAGAAACAAACTTAATGAAATTATTGTCAAAATATTAAGTCCCTTCTTTTTCTCCAGACTGCTGTCCTCACATTCTTCTTCACTATTGTGTATTATCATAAATAGCTGAAAACAAGCTGTGATTCTTCCTGATTTTTCTGCATTGATGCCTTTCCAAGGATGGTTTGTCCATGGAAAGATGCTTAATTTCACTGCTGCAGTAAACCATTTTGTCTTCCAAGATCAAACCAATCAAATCAATCCAAAAGGTACTGTAAAATTACTGAGGAGTAGTTATCTTCATAAAGGAGCACTGGATGTCCAAGTGCTGCCTTTATATCATGAGATTTTCTCATAAATATATAAACCATGTTCCAATAATATCTAAGTCTATACTAACAATTAAGTTTTATTATAAAAAATTAAAATTTTCAACAGCTGTTCAAGAATAGGATTTTAACAGTTTGATTAAATAATTTCTGCTAAGCTAACCCTACAGCTATTACCCTGAACTACATAGCATGTCTGTATATTTAAAAAAAAAAACAGACAAGTTACAAAATTGGCATGTCCTGTCTATCTTAACTATAAAGAAATTTAGAATCAATTTTATGGAACACGAACATTTTAGTTGGCCAGCTCAGCTTCTTGCAAGACTTGCAGTTAAACTCCAGTAAATTAAATGATCCCAAAGATGACAAAAATATCACTTGAGAAATTTAAAGCATAGTAGTTATTTACTTAACTAAAAAAGAAAAAAAGGACATTTAGTTTGTGTATTTGATAACACAATTTCAGCAACATCAACTGCTGAGCAGGATCTTATCAGAGTATCAATACAAAAAATAACAAAAAAGTCAGCCTCAACGATGTGAGGATCTGACACTTCTGCATCATTATGTATATCTCTTTGGAAGTGAAAATTTGCTTGGTATTCATAAGCATCTTCCCACAAAGGGAGAAACATCCCTCAAATTTCTTATCAGGTTACATGCAATATTATTAATATACATCTTTCACACATGAATTCTCAATATGGCTAGATGTTTGAAATGTAGCTGTGAATACAGTGTTTCATTTTAAACACTCCATATGAGTTCAAAAAGTTTTAAGGTTTACTTATCAAAACCCCCTGATTTTACAAAATATATCTGTATTTCAAGAAATATAACAAAAAAATAATACAGGGCTAGAAACTGTATTTCAGATACTCCTCATGTTTTTTGTTTGGATAACAATATCCAACTTTTTTTAAGGCTAGTCACAGAGGTATGAAAGTCAATAAAGAAATCCTGTGATTTACAAATAAACTGTTGGTCATGGTTGCTTCCTATTTCGAGCCCTGCATAACAAATTATGATGATAGTATGACTTTCATGTTGTGAATGTTAAGTATAAACAGGGGTAGAAATTAACCTGTTTTCTCCCACTGTCATCTAATAGGATACTCGACAGTTTCCAGTTTGGTTTCCGTATTTATTTATATACCAGACTTTAACTCTTCCTGTGAAACTGGCATGTTTCCAACTAAGAAAGGGTTCTGAAGTCTTCTATATTAAAGTGTGAACTATTAAACCAATGCCTTTTACAATTTAAGTAGCTGAATAACAAAAGTATAAGACATGCTCAAAGTAAGAATTTTTAACTAATCCAACACTTGATTGGAAGAAGTTATATCTAATCCCCAACTATCGTGTAACTTGATTGTCTGTCATTAATTTCAACCCCTGAGAACTGGTGAACAGGAAAGCAGTCAGGAGCAGCAAAGTAAAAGAGTAAGTAATTTTAGGAAAACATTGAAAGAGAGATAGAATTAAGGGTGTGAAAGATGTGAGATTTATGATTTTAAAGTGCAATGTTTTCCACTTACTCTTCACCCCCTTTTTCCCCTTGCGCTCCTTTTTGTATTGTTCCTTGAGTTTGGTTATAACTCCCTGGTCGACATTCCAGGCTTCAGGCATGAGACACTGGTCTTCCTTTTCTAAACAAAGTGAAACAAATGAAACATCCTTTTTCAATAATGTCACCAAGTGATCTCCACTGAAGGAGGCAACAGCTGCTGTCAATGGCATTTGTCTTTTATTTTAAACAGACAGAAATAGCACCAAGCTTGTGAAAGCTGTAAAACTGCTACTCACATTCCACTTCTATTTGTTCAGAATTTTCTTAATAAAAAATTGAGATGAAATTTCACATCTAATTCTTATAATCAAGCACATAGCTGTTCAAAAATGTAAGCAACGTTTACTTTATAATAAATCAGGACATATTTTTCAATTTATTTCTTTCCTCCAGGGAAAGAATTACTATATCTAGAAGAATCAGCTACGTTACTCGTCAACATAACTTTACAACTCAAACGTTGCATTACTGCATTTCAAATTCTCATTTCATTGTCTTTGTGCTATGTTGTCATTTACACACAGCAGTAGCACGTTTAAATAATTTTGGAACATAGTATACATGTCACCATGGTTTAAACAAAATCTTAAAGCACTAAAGCCACAAAATTTCACAAAAAAGGTGAAGGCCTGAATTATTAATGTTTGGAAAAAAACAACAAAATATTTCAGTATGCCTAACAAAACAAAACAAAACAAACAAAAAAAATCCCCTTTTTTGTTTTCTTTGGTTTGTTTTTTTTCCTAAATATTTCTCTCAAATTGCTTCCCCTGTGACATTATACAGAGAAGAAATATCCTTCCAATTGTACAGTATTTGGAGATTTTGAATAAAACATGTTATGTGAGTTCAAATCTCCAAGTCATTTTTTCCATATATGGAGAGACTGTACTGAGGCAGATTAGAAAAATAATTTGCAAGAGGAGGGGAGGTAATACAGCTTTTCCATATATATATTTATTTTCACGACCATTACAGCTACAAAATTTTTTTAAATTCTTAAACTTTTTGCTTTATTTTCTCATTAAAATCCCAACCTTTTTATTTAAAAATGAATTCCTTTCAGGCCAACTTTACTTTGCAGATCAGTAAGCTATTCTAGACCTTTTTAAAATATGAACAATAATAAACTTATCCTCAGACTAAGCTGCAGAAATTACATGTCTGTAGAGGAAGCACAACACTATCAATCACAATCTGAATGAGTCACTGTGATTGGACAGAAGACAAAAACCAGACATGGGTTATTACAGGCACTGACTCATCAGAAATGATTTGTGCTGAAAACGACCTAGGAATCCTCCATCAACATCGAATTCAATAGGATTCAGCAGCATACTCTTGCAGGAAAAGTAATCAACAGCTGGGCTGTATTAACAACGTAATCAATGAGGGAAGTGACTGTTCCCCTCTGTCCGGCACTTGTGAGACCACACCTGTGAGTACTGCATCCAGTATAATATTTCTAATACTGAAAAACCCTTTAGGTATAATGCTAAGTACCCACTATTGGTGTAGTTGTAAAAAGTCTAAGGGAGCCACTAAGATGGTTAAGGCAGCTGGAGCAAATGAGTTACAAGGAGGGGCTGAGGCTACTGTGAGTGTTCAGTAATAGCAAAAAAAGTGTCTTAGTGCAGCCTATAACTACCTAATGTACAGGCAACTGAGAAAACAGACTCTACTTAGACTCGCATCACAGAAGGACAAAATTCTTTTTGAGATGACCCCTCCTTCCTTTGAACCCTCCAGTCATGATCCTATATTCATCAGTGACAAACTAATTCAAGACACAAATTTTAGCCACATAAATCCTTTGCAGAAGCTATGAAAATAGGTATTACTAGGTTGAAGAGGGACTCTAAAATAGTCTATGGGCTAAGTCATGTCCTCTTAATACATATGCCCCAATTACCACTAATGATCAAAAACTGCATGAAGAACTCAAAAAAGGTATAAGAAAATCAGGCTTCAGAGAAACAAATATGTATTCTTTCTGGGATTAGGTTTCAAGTTTTAATTGTCCTGGTTGGACAAGACTTTTTTTCCTCTCCTCCAGCAAAAAAAAAAAAAAAAAAAGAAAAAAAAAAAAAAAGTTTAAAGAGCTTTTTATTCGACTGTGTTGTTGCAAGTAAAATACCTAATATATTAATTTTCTATGGACTGTTTCCCACATGTCCTACATATTCTGTTCAATTTCTCAAGTGGATCCTGAACTACTCCTGTTCAAGGGCTTTATAGTTTAAAAATTACCTGAACACATCTGAGGACCTTTCAAGCTAAATGGGTTCAACAGATTACTATAACTGATACTTAGGATCCAAAGAAAAAATTTCGTCTGTTTGCTTCTGACGTCACTACACAACATCAGTTACACTTAAAGTAACATCAGTGATTCATAGTGACAGTTCTTTGAAGAAGCTTAATCTTACATAGTTACCATCAAAGACACAGGTTGTGAAACAAATAATTGAAAAACATGAAAACCTCTAACTCATTTCTAGACTACGACTTTTCACAACAATTTATTTTTAATGTTAGACTTGGGGTCATTTGCGCTCAGCTTTCATCAATGAAAGTAAAAATAAACCAGAAGTGTGAATCTGAGAACACAAAGCTCCTGTTGGCACACTGACTTTTCTATGACACAAGAAATAGCTTACCAAGCATGAATGAATAAAATTTTAATATTAAAGATAAGTATCAGAAAAAACTTTATCATAAAAAAGAGTAATATTCCTAATTTTTTTTTGTGAATAGAATACTGACTGCTATATCTAATGATATTACAACACGTCATCTTAAGCAGAAAGACTACATCACACAATAATTTGAAGTACAACCAGGAGTTCGACATGGCTTCAGTAAAATGCAGCATCTCATAGCTGATGGTCACGTGAGAGCTACAGCTACCATGGCTTATTGGTCTGTCACAGTTGCAGGTCCATTATAAAGCTCAGTTATTTTCCATTCATTGTCAATAGCTCCCTCTGTATTCACTTATCCTTAAGACTTTCCAGAGCAGTTTAAGTAGGAAACAATTCCCCATCAAGATATTCAACCAGTTTTCTTCTTTCTTCCCTTCCCTACACAATGGGTTTAGGCAGAATAACAATGTCAAGGTAAAGTGGATGCTGGCATTCTGGGTTGCAGGACATGAACCTCAAAAGACAGAGAACAGTTTGTGAAATGTCTCTCTATGAGTAGTGGGCTTAAAGACAAATTATTCTGCTAAATTATAAAAGAAAGTTTGAGCAACTGAAGCATTTATATTGCCCAAATTGCTAATCCACAATAAGAGTACAAGTAATTCAGCCTTTATAACTCATTATTCACATTATTCTCTGGAGAAAGCAAAGAAGACAAAATAACTTTCATAACTGTGAAATACTGCTTTATCAGAGCCCTTCATTAGCATTGGTAATTGCAAAAACACATTGAATCAACACTCATAAAATTTAAATTCTACCTGCTTTAGTATTCAAGGAAAGGAGAAATTATCAGAAGTATAACTGTGAAGAATCCGTAGATTAAATCAATGTACAGAAAAATGAGAATATTTTGTCAAGAACTTCAATCTGCCAGTTATTTACTACAGAAATACTCAAAAGGTGCTATGATCCCGACAGAGCTCTCAATTGATCAATCACAATATTCTTAGCACATTTTGATTTTTTCCTGGTACGATGCATTAAATTTTCTTACCCCAGTCTGTTCCATCTCCTGAACTTCTTGATTCCCCATCACCATCATCTGAAGTAACCAGAAAGTCAAACTCTTTCAAAGCCTCTTCTGTATCTCTGTCTTCACTGCTCTCAGATAGCACTCTTTTCCTTACAATCTGAAAGGTCAAAAAGGACAGGAAAAAAAGCTGAATTAAGTTACACACACATCTTTATACCAAGCAGTACTGTCTTGTCTTCTATGCAAAATCCAAACAGGAAGTTGAGGAGGAGGTAGAAAAGTACACATTAATAAGTAAATGTGGAATAGTATGCAGACTTTGTTCCAATTTCTAAGTCAAAATGGAGTTTGTCTGTAATTTTTTCTTCCTGTGACCATCAATAATCAATCACTGATAATGAATCTACACTATCTTTTTTACTACCAGAAAGCACAAACTTTCCCTTAAAACTAATTTTAAAACACACAAAACCGACAAACAAAAAACCAAGAATGCTGTAGAAAAGACTTCAGCAAAACCAAATTTACTCTGCTTCTCTGAAAATGGCCTCTCTAACTCTCACTTCTGAAATCACTCTACATGTAGACCAAAAGACAACTCTAAGAAATAAAAAACCAAATCCAAAACCCTACAATTGTCAAAAGCTAACTTGCTTAGATTTAGCAAATCATTCCACCCTGAATATTTTCTCAAATATTATCGTTATTTAAACATGGTGCTTAAACTGCATTTTCCTTCTGAACTCAAAAGCCAATTCTGGTAAAAGAAAAAAATACACATTTTAATGAAAGACTTCATTGAATGCTTTCTGCAATAAATTTACTTTTCCCTCCACAATCAAAATGGACTAGATGTTTTACAGTTATTTGACTAACAGGTGATGCCATGATACCTGAAAACCATAGCATAAATTTCATTTCTATAGAAGAAAATTTACAATATTAAAATATTTTGACAGTCTGAAAGGGTCAGTCTGAAAAGACTTCAGTACATAGGACACCATCCCATAGTTCATGAGTATGACTGACTGTTTCCTCTAAATACAACGAAAAAATTTCAAAACCTGAAGCAATTCTAAACTTCAAGTTTCATTTCTTCAGCAGGCTTAGTGAACATACTGTATTACAGAAGATTTTACACAAGAGCCTCCAACCTTAGGTCACAGTCCACAGATGACAAGAAGCAGTTTACAAAGATCCTCTTGAAAAATGTTGTAAAACTGATGAGGTTTTAAGTGTGTTAATTCTTAAAACTGACCACAAAAATAATCACATCCCTCATAACTCTTATCTGTTTCAATTGTTAGGAAACACAACTCGCTGAATAAATATTAATTTTTAAAAGGATAAAATTGAGTACTGATTGCATGTATCTATTTTATGTCATCATATGAACAACACGTATAGCAAAGTATAGATCACAAGGGAGTCAGGTTCAGGCATTTCACTGAACAAAATGAAAAAAGTATATTAATCACATTAGAGTTCTTCTGGCTATACTTTTTTCTTCCTTCCATAAGCTATTTAAAGAGAAATGCATTTCAGTTCTGTATTCTACAAGGACAAATTTCTAGAAGTCATTTTAAATACTAAGAATTTTTCAATAAATATTCAAAAATCAGTGCATTTTTGACAGGCAACATTATGACCAATACCTTCAAACTAAGCTGAAAATTGTAAAAAAAGGACATCTGGTACTTCAAAAATTGTTTCCAATATATAACAAAAACCAGTACTGGAACAGTTAAAAGAAAATATAAAAAAATTTAATATGTTACTGCAAACTTAGATGGAAAAGTTTAACTTGTATGCACGAAGTGAGGAATGCATATATAATTCCTCTTATGCACACATGCTTGGACAGAACATCATAAAGATGCATTAATGATTTGCACGTGTACATACACAGTCATGTACTTTGCTTATAGGCATCTCATTAATCTCACTTTTTCTGTTCTTCGTAACTTTTTCAATTATTTTTTTCCACTCACTGTTGCGGTATCAATGATTGTTTTCTCTCTTCCTTCAATATCTTCTTCATCTTCTTCATCACTAAATTCTGCAGCTGCATTTTCAAGAAACTTGAACGTCTCTAGCAGAGAGGCAGAGTCAGTCAATTCAGGTTTCCTAAACAACAACAATAACCATCATCATTAGACTAAATAAATCCCTATAAAGTCACTTTTGCAATTACCAATTTCTTCTGTATTATTGTGTCCAACAACATATGAGACTAAAATTAGCCTACAAGTAAAAATGGTCTATAACAGGTATAAATTTTTGTGGCTAAACAACTACACATTAGACATAAACAATATTATTAGAACCAGCAAAACTATCATATCATAGCCAACAATTATTCTTCATCTGGCAGCTATTACCAAGATAGACACTGTCATTTTTTATTCAAAAAGCATTTTAAAGCAACATTCATCTGACATGTGCCCAAAAGCAACACCAATACTGATATGCCATCACTGAAAGCCTCAGCAACAAGGACATGAGTTACAAATACCAAGTTTGCTTCCCACATGCACATCAGGGTACAGGAAAATTTTGCTGCTGCTAGCTGATGCTCCTTGTCTTGCTGGGAAACACCAAACTCTAGATCTATTCATTACCTTTTGAGACATGATAAATTTGCCACTGTAAAACAATATAATGGGAAAATAGCATTGATGACTAAGTAATGTTTACATAGACTTTTACATTAAACAAATAAGGAAACTGATGAAGATTGGATAAAATTGCAAATGTACTGGTAGAAATTTAGGAAGTGCCTCAGAACAGGAATAATAAGGGTTATTATATTACAAACTGAAGATGAAGAATCTAAGAAGCAGGACTGTAACAATTATTAAAACTCTGACAAAAGTACAAATAAAGCAGTCCCAAAATTATCAACAGGTTCTGTGTTTTCTATGCAGAAAATGCACTTTTCCATCAACCCCTCAAAGATAAAGTGGTGAAAAAAATTCATTCACTTTGAATTGCTACAACTACTTGCAGTAAAACTTTGTACATTCTTTTGATAGCTTTACAACATTGAAGACAAGCTTTATTGTTTTCTTACCTTTAATCAGTAGTCTGTTTTTCATAGTTCATCACTAAATGCATGTCATCTTGATTCTCACAACCACCGAAACAATAGAAGTCTCTCTCTTTCTTTTCAGAATTGTAGCTCTGAACTGTCTTGTGCAGTCTCCTTAATACCAGCAAGTGCCTTGCTTCATCTACATTTTGCTTCTGCTATGACCCCTTTCAAAAAGTTCAATCAACTAACATGCCTGTATGGTAAGGCCTTGTAAACTCCCTGCAGTGTAAACAAACACCCAATCATCCCTCCATCACCCACTTACTCCAGTGTTTCTTCGTAACACTTTTCAAAGGTCTATTATAGGAAACATCCGAGGGCAAAAGCTTTGATGTGTAATAAGGCATGATAAGCAGCACACTTCCTTCTTTACGCAGTCTCTGCTCCAGCAGTTCTATGCTTACATGACATTAATTGCCAGGAGTGGCTTCTTCATAGCCCCATTATGTCTGCATCTCATTAAGACATTTAGCTATTCCACTTTTTTCATTTACTCATTTTTATGGCCCAAAAATACCAACAGAGATTTCATTTGCCAGTAGAAATTTTCATACACAGTATCACAATATACCATGATGCATGTTTTCATGGTAACTGTTTTTTCTGAGAATATTCCTTCCACTTTTCCATATCCTAGCTTAGATAAGAACAATCTCAAACGTGTCTCCATTTTGCTCTGCTTCCTGCAGTATTTTGACCCTCTTATTTCTATGACAAATCTGAAAACACTGTAATATTTTTCTTTTTCCCTAAGTAATCACTACTTTGGCAGACTATAACACCTTATGAATCTGGAGCAATAATGTATATTTTCATAGAAATCTGATGGTATTTTTGCTTTGCTTTTTTTAACAAATAAGTCTTGATATGACAAAACTTGCAATGTGATTTGTTTGACTAACTTCTTGACTTTCAGAAAATTCTGCATGTTCTGGTCTACTTTTAGTGGACTCAACCGTCCAACCACAACTGTATTTCTGTTTTTTCTCTGTATTTTTCCATGTAGAAATCTGCCATGTAAAAACTTTATGGCTGTTGATCGATAATAGCAACTATCAGACACGTTCCAGTAAACAGCAATGCATGAACTAATACCAAACATAGAATATAAAATGTTAATTAACATTATTTATATTAAAAAACAGACATCTTTCTGCAGGTTCACGTATTTGCAGTAATTCATACCTAGATTTGGCTCTGTACTCATTTGATCTTAAATCACGATCTCTCACACTGAAGTTCAAAGTGACTACCAAAACAGGTTATATCTTTTCTGAGTAACTGGTCTGAATTCAATTGTCCTATTCATTATTACACACTTTAGTGGGCAGGATATATACATAATCCTGTATCTGCACTTACAGGGGGAGGAGGGGTAAAAGGCATCTCATGCACTGGGAAACACAGTAGCTTATTTTTCATGTATTTCAAAACTCCTGTGCAGTACAAAAATATACAAAGTCAGCACAGTACCACAGAATATTATTTTGCTAAGGCACAACTTCCAAGAAAGAATTCATAAGAACCAGAAAAAGAAAACAGAAGTGACAGGATATTTAAACTATTCAAACGTTCTGAAGGAGAAAAGTTTCAAGCTGACAGACAGGGCTGATTTGCTATATTGTACCCCAATACAGCTTAGCAGTCAAATCAAAGTAATTTAATAATTTAGCTACTTTTCATCCTTTAGCAGCACATAAGCATAATGCATTTTAGATATTACTGCCAGCATGAACACTTGGGAATAATGTAAAATGTACTTGAGAAAATGCCTGGCCTTAGCTGATTTATGTTATGTATTTTGATGGCAATTTGAAGCTTGCTTGTTTCATTATTTTCCATCTGGCTAGTTTGTTTTTCACAAAGCAACACAAAAAAGCAGAAGTGGCAAAAATATATTCAGAGATAGTAAAAAAATTACTTTAAATTCCACTTAAGAAAAAGAAAGTCAATTAAACATTACCAGGGTTTTTGTAGTTTGGAGTATTACCAGAAAAAAAAAGGGTGAAAACAATAGAACAGAGCTCCAAAAGCGGGGACTGATGGACAAACTGTAGTATTATAAGCATGAGAGAGGCAAGACTACAGCAAGGTTCATAACCTGTTGCAAATAAAGAGAGATCAAAAACCTCAAAAAGGTCTCAAAAAGGACAATTCTTTTCACTGGACTGTCCCAAACCAAAATATATGTAAGGGAGAACATAATTTTCCAAGTGCAAGAACTTAGGATGGCTTTTTCCTTCTTCCCTAGCCATATGGTCTGAAGAAAAACTGCTGGAGAAGAACAAGTCAGAAACCCCAGACAGCAGGAGCAGCTACAGAACTTGCCAAAGCAGAGAGCACAGAGGAACTAGACTGTAGCAGGACTTCCAACCCTGTGCTCCTCAGCAGCTTGCTCTGAATCTCTTTCTCACTGCTCCTTTCTCAGTCATACTCTGCAGCATCACTCTTGTAAGGTTTTTTCCCCAGCACCTAACTTCTTTCCCTGAAGGTTTCATCCCAGTTGACTTAGAACTTCCTAACCAACCAACCAAAAATCATTTAACCAATATAAGATCTTCTATCTGATACTGTTAATTCTGTGCATTACATTCTCCTTTCCAATAGCCGTATCCAATTAGACAGGAAATTCTTTGGGGCAGAGAGATTACCTGCTACTCCTGCCTGCAAATGATTAAGTACAACAGGACTAACTGCTTGTCACAGGCATAACAATAAGTAGTGCCAGAAGGTAAGTATAGCCAGGCTAATGCTGCTGGGTTTTCCATCTTATTACTAACGGATAGGGCAGCACACCGATTTCATGAATATTATTCTTGAAACGGGGAACTTCTGATCCCCAAAGATAAAACACGCTTCCCAGTTTAAAACACAACATTCTTGTTACAAATGGGATGGTAACTGAAGTACTTACCTCCTCTAAAGCAACATAAACCTGAACTCACAGGAATATTCTCCTCCTCAGGAGAAGCTGTCAGAATTTTCTGTAGCTGTGGTGGCTGTGAAAATCTGATCCCATCTCATATTTTACAGGCTGTTCAATTATTCAGATTTGTCTTAACCCACTGGCCCCTTTGATAGTAAAAATAATAATATCTTCTCATGAAATCTGAAAAATATGATTTGTGGATATTCCACACATACTATTTAAGGCAGGCCTGGTCTCTCCGGGGCTCTGCAGGCCATAAACCCAACTCTTTATGTTCTGCCCAACAGTGACATGTCTCAAGGCAACTATTTTGTGTAAAAATCCAACTGGTTCTGACACTGAAATATTAGCAGCTTTATAAAATATATTTGCTGACAACATTTAATATTCAGGATCTTAACAAAAATCCTGTTTCTTACTGAGTGAAAAGATACAGATATAGTAAAGTTATATGGAAACTAAAACAGCACATCAGTGATACCTTTCCTGCTCCAAACATGATCCAGAATGTTTCCTATTGCAAAGTCAAGTTTAATTTAGACTAAAGTCCCATTACAGACACATATTTTTTTGGTAACTAACACAATCAATATATCTATCATTACTTTCTCCTTTGTTGATAATAACTCTGGAAAGTCCGTGGTCATGTCCAGGGAGTCTCAAACTTCTACCATGAACTGCCCAACCACAAAGCCATTAACTGCCTCAGTCCTACTCACACCCCCAAAGGAAAAAGTAGAGGGCTTTTTTGTTTGTTTCTTTTATCCAAGACATACACCAGTTATCTTAAAACCAGGATTTTATTGATAAATTCAGAAGCAGGAAGAAATACCACAGTAAAGTTAAATAAACATAAGTTCCGGTTAGGCTAAGATGGGATTGTGGGGTCTGTACAAGAAAGAACCTGTTGTAACCCAGCATTCAGAGCTATTCTACTGTACTCTTTCTTGAGCCATTTTCTTTGGTTCAGTTTCCTCCTACTATAAAAATATGCTACTGCATGGTCATCATCAGTTTAATTAATTCCCCATAGAATTTAGTTATCATATGTTTTACCATAGTCTTTTCAATGGGGCTAGTTAAGTTCTTTCAAACTGTACTCAT